ATAGAATCCCAACTCTCTGGGTGAGGCATTATTTGAAAAATCTATTGAAAATGGTCACTTTAAGACGTATTGGCATCAGCTAATTAGATCACTATTCAGGTACCGCTCAACAAAAATACACCTATTAGCTACTCTGGCTCTAAAGGTGTGGAACGAGCTCCCCATTGAAATGAGGAGAGCTGTAAGTCTTCACTTCGTCTAGACCTTTAGACCCAACACAAATATTTTTAATATTTCCAGCCCTTACAAGGTTCAGCCCATTTGAATCCAATGCACCACCACTTACAATGGTTTTGGCGAACTTGAAGGAAATGCATATTATTGAGAGTTTGTATCACCATGGTTTACCGCATCAGCAATGAAATGTAATGTTACGTAATTAATACAAGGCAAGTTGATTTTCTTTGTTTTGGCAACAGGTTCGGTGAGGCCAAAGCGAAGGATCATTAAGATGGAAGTGTCAAACCTCGAACCATCTGCCCTGACTCAAGGCCAGATAACATCGTTGGCTCTTTGCTTACCGTCTTTCCAGTGTGGGCCCAAAACTGATGAATTGAGTTTTAACCAAATGTGGTGCAAGGAAAGGGTATGTGTGTGCCAGTTCAGCACAACTTTAATAATCCAACTCTCATTGGCACAAGCTGAAGAAGAAAGCAAAAGGATGACGCTGCTTTTGACCCAAATCCACCCTCATCAGATCGACATACCGACGCTGGCTAACACGAATAATCACTTTAAAAAGATACAGTTTGAGGGGAGGGAGTTGGTGAGAGTCACCTGTTTGGTTCACTCACCAGAGACAGCAGACAGTACGAGCAAATGGAGAGTGTCTGACTACAATTTGGAGGGTCAGATGATCACGTCTGTGATCTGCACCTTGAAAATGGACCTGGAAATATCGAGCAGTGAAGAAAGATGGCAGTCAGATCCACAAGTGGGAACGACGACACCTGAACAAGGACACAGAGAACATCACTATTTTAGTTACTGTTGAAACTGCTTTATGTGATTATTTGTGGCCAGCAAGACCAAACTGTAAGCACAACTTTGACATAAGTAAAGTAAACTTTTTTCGCAAACTGTTGCCTATTTACACATCCGCAGACACAGAAGCATTTTTTGGAGTCCTGTTTTCACCCATGACTACAGGATTTTCTTAATTAAATCTCTTGTAGTTTCGTTTTGCGCTTCACAAACTCCTAAAGGAAATATAAAATTATACCAGCGAGTGAGCGAGAATAGTAAAGACAAAGAGGCTACGGCAAAGCAGCTAGTCAAGGCTGCACATGAGCTATGCTAACCTCAGCAGTGGGCTAGTATGCTTACAATGATAATGCATGTTTAGCTGTCATATTTACCATCTTATATTTACAAAATGTGATGGCAATCCATTTAATAGTTGCTGAGAGATTCATGTCCAGACACTAGCCAAATATATTTATTAAAGTCACAGCAGCTTTAAATGACCTTTGCCAGTGAATTAGCAGTCATACTGTTCAGGTTTAAAACTGTTCATGTTTGCATTAACAATAAGTCGAACATGATCAATCAATGACTCCTGTGAAGGGAGAAAAACTGGCAGAACCACTAAAACATACTGTGTTTCTCGAGAAGTTTGTACATTTTGCATGTTATTGCTCTGGATGTTGGTACTTCATTTGATAGTAAAGCAGATGGTACACACACAAAACATGATGCTTCTAGAGTAGTACTTACTTACTTGGTACTGACCAAATTGCATGAGTGTACTCAAATGAAATGACATAATGTTTAGTACACACACCACTCTTGTGCATAAACACAAAAAGCCACAGATACACTGGTGCCTGTGGCCGCTGCTTCCTCTGTGGCAAATGAAAGAAATGCATGTCAGATCTGGTCAAAGCACAGCTGCTCCTTGGTTTTTACTTTCATGGCCTTTCTTGTACAGCTAGTATCGATGAGGATGTAAGCTGCAAGGGTAAACAAACACTTTAATGTCTGCTTGTGGAAGTCCTTTTAGGCTTCAACATGAAGGGAAGTTGTCACAATATCTCATTAAATAAATAAATAAGCTTTAATATGTTTTGACAAATCAAATTCAGAGTTCAAAGCAAAGTTCACTAATGCAGTAAGACTGAAAATAAGAAGGGTAAAATACATGCAAGTACTTCCAAAATGTAAGAAACCAAGAGAAGCGACCTTATCTTTGGCTTAACAACCATTTATTTCTAGATCGTTTTATGGCTGTTGAACTTCCTCACATCACACAAGCTCATGTAGCATAGAGCAGATCCTTTTATATAATCTCTAAATGGCAAACAAGTTCTTATTCACCATCTCTGTGAATGTGAGCGACTTCTTTCAGCCACACATGCATGCAGACACTCACTTCCTCCTGAAATCAACCAGCAGCACATTGTGTAACTAAAATTAGATGAGACGAACACTCAGGGGCGGTTCTAAGGGGGGGGGGTGGGGGCAGGGGGGGCAAGTGCCCCCCTAACACTGACTTTAGACCCCCCTGTGGCCCCCCTAAAAATGAAAAAAAAAGTTTATGATTAAACTATTTCTTGGCTGATGGAATAGGCGGAAGTAACGATATTTGTCATTCTAGTCGGACCCATTAGAGCATTCACGGGTCTTCAACACATCGATCACGAGCTACCGGTATCTCGCAAGCCCTCAATAGCCCCCACTTTACAAATATTTTTTTTTTAACAAGCCGTCATCGCCACAGAGGAGCACACAGCCTCTGTGAGCGAGCGAGCAAGACAGAGAGAGAGAGCTAGAGAGAGCACACCTTTATCTATTTAATGTGTTGTAAAAAATAAAGAAATCATTCCAAAAACTGTTTGAAAGGGGAGTGATTAGTAAAATATGCATAAATAAAACGAAAGAATACTATAGGTAACATAAGATAAGAATAAACAAGTTTAAATGATTTGTTATTGGTTGTGATCATATTCTAAAGATTTTTTGATTATTGAAAAGTATACAGCTCCCTTTCATCTGAGTGTTGAGAGCTGTATCCATAAATTCCTTTTGTGCTCAAAGTGCACCAGATTGATGCATTTGACTTCAACATTTAAAAAATCTTCCCGGGGCTGAATGCCCCCGGACCCCCCAAGAGAAGGTTAGGTCCACCCCCAAATAAAGCAGGTTAAAATAATTTTATTTTAGTAAACACTGAAAACGGGTCCCACAGACCCAAACAGCATACAAAGGTAAGCATATAATAATGTGTAATGAAACAAATACCAATAACTGTATTGCATTGTTTTCTTAGGTGTATGCGCACTTCATACTGTCTTTTTCGTCCTGCATTTATTGTGCCCCCTCAGAAAATAACTGGCCCCAGCCTGGCCCCCCCAGTCAAATTGGTCTAGAACCGCCACTGTGAACACTCACATGTTAACAGGCCTCGATTTAGCAGCACTGTGGTTTCACCAAAATTAGGAGCAGAAAGACTCGAGATCGAGATAAGAAATGCAACTATTTAAAATGTACCTCCCTTTAATACAGTTGCACATAAATCCATTTTTATCCTGTTCTATGCTTCTGCTCATCTATAATCAGAAGCAAATGGTGTCACCACATGTGATCACTTTATACAGTATATCAAAATCAGTTAGCCTTTAATTTAGAATCCCTCAACGTTAAAGATTAATATTGCTTTAGTTTTACCACAAAAATAGAGTAATATTAACTGTCTCAAACAACTCTACTTCTAAACCTGGCATATGTTAACCAGGTAAAATTACAGTCAATGAACCCAACATGTTGTTTGAAGAATGGTTAATAAGTGACACTAACAAAAGGGAATGACATCCTTCTTTTAATCAATAACGGATGGATAAGGAAACGTTTTGAGTAGCAGTCTGAAGGTGGAGGGACCTCTACTGGTGGTATCAGTGTTGAGTGTAAGAGTTATATTTAAGAGCAACAAAAACAAATCAAAAATAGTATTTTGAGAGCAAGTTGAACCAGACACAGTGTCCCAAATTCTTTACTATTAGTTGTATACAGTTATTTGTTTCCGGTCAGTAATTTTCAACTAGAGCATTATAGACTTGTACAGATCTCACGTTGAATTTGTTGGTTGGTTTGATTAGTAGTAAGGTATTCTTTTTTGGCTCATTTTATCATTGTGCATTGCATTGTGGGGAAAAAATACAGCATCATTTAAACAAATAATGTTTTTTTGTGTGTGTATAACAACTGAAATAAACCAGACCAACCACAGTGAGCTGTGTCATCTGTAAGGTTTGAACAGTTGATTTGTTATTTGACAGTTTGTACAAAGTGCAAATAAAACAGTGAAATACTATAAACATAAAAAAATAAACCGGTTACTGTTTTATTTATTTAACCAGATAAAAGCATTGAGATAAAATCTCATTTACAATGCTGGTCTGGCCAAGAAGGCAGCAACGTTACACGTTCTTACACATAACACAGACATGTAAAATACAGAGAACACAACTAAGTAAACAAGAAGACGAAAAGCAGTCACTACATTGTGCACATTTGGGACAGTAAGGTACACTACTTATTACTGCAAGAGCAGCTGGTGGTAAGGACCTCAGACAACTTCAATTTAAAACACGCTATTGGGACCTCAGTTTTAGGCTTGATTGAAAGTCATTCCAAGACCAAGGACCATAATAAAAAAGACTCCTTTTTCCAGCCTCAGTCCACACAGCAGGACCCCAGCTGGAACCGTATCCAGGCACTGGTCCTGAGGTTGTAAGAGTCACAAACTGGAGCAAATCTGGCACAAATATACAGTGGACGCTTACCTAAAATGGCTTTACACCCTAAGAATGAATATTGCATGTTATGTTATATAAAACATTTATTTAAATATCCCTGCAAGTGAATGTTTTCAGAAATGTTCATGTGACATCAAAATGTAAAAAATATATTCAACTTTAGATGAGGACATGATTCATCCACTAGACGGTATAGCAAACACGTACCAGATATTGTCTAAAACTGCAAAACAAAAACAAAAGTCGTTTTGTGATTCCACAGCAAAGTTTATTGAGATGTCTTTAATATCTTTGTGCATGCACCAGAAATAACCCGTGAAATAATGTATGTACAGTACAATAACCTCAAACACTTAGTGTGTCACTTCACACTCGGCTCATTGAACAATTCTTTCATGCATCTACAATCTGATAATAGCTTTCCTAACTTCAAGGCACACATACATGATGATCAACAGCACTCCTTACATCTTATACAAATACCTTACTTGAATTCTAAAGTTTTCATCATTTGCTCCTTTGTTATGATTTGCCTTATTTTCAGCACCAGGTTTGATCTATTTGCTACTGCTGTGGCACAATAGGCTTTCAGATGATCTTCAAACTACTGGCACTTGTTCCAGACTAGTGTAAAGCCTGGAGTTGATTCTCCTGTGTTTCCAGTAAATCGTTCATTTGTTAAATTATCTTCATCAAGTTTCTTTTGCTTTCTTACATCTGTCAGATGTCTTCATCAAGTCACATTACCCTCCTGTGCTCAGCTTATTCTGTAGATGGAGGGGTGAAAATGTTACCAACAATAAATCGTTTTGACATGTATCAAAGAGTGATGGTGGTAGATTTTTATATATATATATTGGAGTCATACCTTCTTGGCATTGTCCACACACTGCATGTAGGCCGAGGCGATACTGGAGCAGGACAGAGTCTTTCCAGTGTTCTCCCTGTAGCATTTCAGAATCTGACCCTGCAGGTCACTGCAAACCGGCTGGATATCAACACGCCTGTGAGACACATGTAAATATAAAGAACAATGGTTTCTTAAACATGCAAAGTAGAGAAATATCTTATATATACGCTAAAATCCTTAAGTTCCCTCCACAGGGAGTTTCTCTCCCACACACTCCCTCCCTCTGCCTGAAACACCTCTATTGGACTCCTTTGTTTACTTCCAAAACATAGTGACATCACTATGTTGCGGACTGGGCTCTGGTTTCAGACAGAGGGTGAAAAGAGGTGCTGCAGAACAGGCAGTATGAGAAAAGTAAATACCTTTTTGAACATTAAAGCATGTAAACATGTCACAGTAGCGGCACAACATACAATATGAACCTGCAAATGAGCATACTAGGTCCCCTTTAAGACCGGATTATTAAGACAGGCGCATTTGGATTTTTGGATTCATGCAAATACAATGATTCCAAACTTACGCAAAACGGTTGTGAGTGTCTTCTTTGCCCTTCTGGAAGCTCTCAGCCGTCACTTTATAAAACTCAGTGCACTGTCAAATAGGAAAAAAAAACTCATAAAGGTCAAATATTACAACACTTAAAATATAAAGAGCTTGTTCTCTGACAATGCCGGCATGCTGCTGCTGTAAACGACACAATGAGAGTGCTAAAGTGGAAACAGTACATTTGTGGAGAGCTAAACAATGAGCAAATACTCATTGTGAAGCTATAAGAGCTGCAGATTCCGGCGATTCTCTACATTGGGTTCACCTTTTTTTCAAGTTTTGTGACGTGTTCCCTGTAGAGAGCATCTCGTTTCCTCAACTCTTTCTCCCGCTCCTCCAGCTGATGAGCCTGTGAGTTTAAATGTGTTAATAGCTAAAACCACAATGACATTTTCATGATTTCATATATTGTGGACAGTAAACAGAATTCCAATATGTGATATCACTTTATTTTCTTATTTCATCATCAAAGAAATGAAGAGCAGCAAAGCATAAACTCAGCAGCTTCAGTGTGATTAGAGTAGAATGAAAGTGAAAAAGTGAGTCATGCACGTGTAAATGATCTCCCGTCTTACCTTCACCTCCATCCGCTGAAACAACACAAGAGGGCAAGAAAGAAAGAGATTCACAGTAAGAGGAGGAAGGGTTTTCACATTTTCACGAGAGATCCTATCGATGTACAGATCGTGTTGTTTGTGTGCTTACGTAAAGCTGCACCATCAGCCTCTCATCGTCAGTCTTTATTCGCTCCTTCGCGATGGCCTCCGTCAGGTTCTCCACGTACGCCGCCTTCTCCGCCTGCAGCGTCTTCATCACCTGCTTCTCCACCTGAGTCTGAGCGGCTGACAGGGCCTCTGCATGAGCCTGAGCCCTTATCTCCTCCAGCCTGCACACAGTTCACATGTTCTACTTGCACTGGTTCATCCTTCACACATTTGTTTAAAGCGATTGAACAGGTAATAAGTTGATAGAAAGAAATATCAACTGCCATTTTGATGGTATTTTTCAAGCAAAATGTTCAATCTTTAGCTGGTTTCAGCTTCTCAAATGAGAGGATGTACTGCTTAGTATCACTCTTCACTGATTATCTTTCGGTTTTGGCCATAGATGGAAATCGTGGAAATTATGATGTGCATTTTTCAAAATGTTCTGACATTTCATACACAAAACGATTATTCGAGCTACAAAAGTAATTGGCCTATCAACTAATAATGAAAATAACCATTGATTACAGGCCTAGAGTAGACACACTAACTTTTTTCCACTCTGAGTGAGAGTTTGTGAATTTGTAACACTTTTAACCGATTAATCAAACCAATATTCAATTCAATGGCTCACTGCTACATATTAATCAGACATCTTATTTCAATTAAAGTGGAAAACAACATATATACAGTTCATCTAATCACACAGCAACAGGACCCAAAAGTCTTCCCACATAAGAGGACAGGTCAAAGAAACAGGATTCCTTACTGTCGCTGCAGCTCCTGCCTCCTCTGGTAGATCTCCTCCTCCAGACTCATCTGCATCTCCTCTTTGATCTTCTGCCTGAGGTTCTCCTCCACCACCTCAGGAGGAGCAGGTGGGGCTGTAAACACATTCAATCATTGATAAAAAGCTTTAAAAAAAATTATATTTAAATATCTTGCTACAATATTTTCCTTGGCGATCAGCTCACCAGCTGCAGGTGGAGCTGCTGAGGCTACAGCAGGAACTTCAGCCTCAACGGCAGGGGGCAGAAACACTGTCAGGGTGGGCTCCTCAGCAGGTGGAGCAGGAGCAGGTGGAGGTGGAGGTGGTGCCAGAGGCTCGACGAAAGAATGGCTTACAGGTGCATCAGAGGGTACAAGAGCCAACTCCACACAGTGACAGGGAGGGGAGGGCTCTTCAAAAGTGAGCTCTGGGGGAGGTGAAGGTGCCGCCAGGGACTCGGGGGGAGGAGAGGGTGCAGCAACCAACTCTAAAAGATGAGAGGGTGCTGCCTCCGGCTCTAGTGGAGGAGAGGGTGGTGCTACCAACTCTAAGGGAGGAGATTGTGCTATCACCGACTCTAAAGGTGGACAGGGTGCTGCCACAATCTCTAAAAGAGGAGAGGGTGGTGCTTCTGGCTCCAGGGGAGAAGATGGTGCTGCAACAAGCTCTAGAGGGGCTGCCACTGGCTCTGGTAGAGGAGTGGGTGGTGCAACACACTCTAAAAGAGGAGAGGGTGGTTCCACCTGCTCTGGAGTAGTAGAGGGTGCTTCCACAATCTCTGGGGGAGGGGAAGGTGCCGCCACAGATTCCAAAAGAGGAGCTGGTGCTGCCACCAAATCTAAGGAAGGAGCTGGTGCTGTCACTGGCTCTGGGAGAGGAGCGGGTGGTGCAACAGACTCTACAAGAGGGGCAGACGGTGCCACCGTCTCAGTGGGAGTAGGTGGTGCTGTTACCAGCTCTAAAATAGGGGTGGGTGGGGCCACCGGCTCCGGGGTAGAAGATGGTGGTGCCACAAGCTCTAGTGAAAGACAGGGAGCTGCCAGCGACTCTAAGTTAGGAGATGGTGCTGTCATTGGCTCTGGTGGAGAACAGGGTGGTGCAATGGACTCTAAAAGAGTAGATGGTGCTGCCACATACTCTGGTGGAGAAGATGGAGCTGCCACTGACTCAAAAAGAGGAGTGGGTGCTTCCAGCAGCTCTTGAGGTGATGGAGGTGGAAGTGTTTCACATGCAGGTGTTAAATCAAAAGCTGCAGCAGGAGGGACTGCAGCCTCAACAGGACAGGGTGGTGTTATTGGGGTTAATTCAACAGTGGGTGGAGCCTGAACTGTTTCCACTGGTGGAGCAGACAGTAAAGCAGAATGAAGAGGTTCAACAGACAGAGCTACAGCAGCAGGTGTTTCAGAGGGCAGAGGGGAAGCTAGAGGTTCAGGTGGAGCAACAGCCAAGTCCACAGGTGGAGGTATGACAACAGGTTCTGCTACTGGAGGTGGAGACAGGGTTTCTGGCTCTACATGAGGTCGGATGAAGGATTCAAATGGAGTTGGGACTACTGGCTCCACCACAGCGGGTGGAGGAGGAGACTCCACAGGTGCCTCTACTTGTGGAGGTGTAGTAGGCGGAGGTGGAGAGGAGAGAACAGGGTAAGTTAGAGGTGGAGCTTCTGGCAGGGAGTGAAACTTCACAGGAGGTGGAAGTACGAGTTTTACAGGAGGAGCCAGTTCCACTGATGGAGGAAGGGATGGGGCTTCAAGAGTTTGGGGTGGGGTGAACGGAGGTGGAGGTGTCAGGAGAGGGAGTACGTGTTTGACAGAGGGGTGGGGGACGGGAGGTGGTGTTTGTGTTTCAGGTGGAGGAGGACGTGGTTTCTGTGAAGGTGGAGGAGCGACGACCTTAGACTCCTTCATCCGATGGATCACTTTGTCTGACAGCTGGAGAGAAACAAGAGACACACTTAAATGACATGGATTTGTTAAGGATTTCTTCTTATAGTTAAGTGTTTTTCTTTAAGTGCTTTTGAGCTCTGTTTCTTTATCTGGCTTTAGTAGCGCGAGATATGACCGGCCTACATAGATTAAAAGAAATGGAGCTGTCATTGTGTCGGAAAATCATGTCTTTGCAACTTTGCTTCTGTCTGATGAATACTTCTGTATTTAATTCATTATTTAATTAAATAATGTTTAAGACCTATCTGAAGGCCATGATCACAAAGAAAGTCTCTAAATACTAAATATAAGGTCAAAACGTATCGATCCCTCGAGAGGAAATTCAGTAGGAGTTCTTCAGTATGTAGTCTAGTCAAGAACAGTTGTAGAAATTTGAAAAACGTTCTTACAATCACTACAATTATTACATAATCTGGACCTGCCTAACCTTCCACTCCTTGTGGTTGATTAGTTATACATAATTATGTGTGTATCAGCTTAATGTTTACTTCGCTGCTCTGTCCTTAGAGTTTTAAAGTTCCCTTGGTGTTGCACGAGGTCACCGATAGTGGTCGATAAACAAAGGTCGCAGATTGATAACTACCTACAAATAACTTCTGGGGCTTGTTTAAATACTCAAACACGAATTTAGAATTGGCTTTTAAAATTGTATATTTGTGACACACGTTATTATTTAAAAAAAACGTGATTTCTTTTTTAATAAATTAGATCATCTCCTTAATACGTTTATTCAAGCAGGTGTACAAGTATTTGTATTTTCCTTGTAGTCCATGTTACAGCCCACCATTTTCTTGCTATATTTAACACCACAGCAGTGTGTGAAAGCCTACATTTTTGCAGTGACAACAAACATGAGGTCCAGTTCAATCAATACAAAAAAATACTACATATCTCAAAATCAGAAAAGTATAAATTAGCAGGGCTTGCAAAAACAACCTAACACTCCTGCCCTGTGCATTGAGGGTCTGTGCATTGAAACAGTGTGGAGTAATTGTTTGAATACTTTCTCCCACTTTCAGACCCATGCATTCTCCCTGAGCTTTCACTCACCCGAATGCCCTTCACAAAAGTGACTCCTCCACCCTCCTCTCCTGGGAGGTGACTCGGGCTGTTTCCCCCCATCCACACTCAAGCAGCAGCAGATACTCGCTACTCTTAGTATTTATGATATTATTTAATCCACAAGGTGGATGTACGCTCAGTGATATCAACTCTACAGCTGCAACAATCTGCCCTTCCCACTCCGAGCGTCAACAAGAGCTGCTCCTATTGGATATTGCTGAACAACGCGGCTCCTGATTGGTCCGTTTGCTTTACAGCGTGTCAGACATGAAGGAACATTGTGTCCCAGCAAACAATACTTATAAAACTAACAATTTATCAGTGTTTTGAAGTAGCCTGACTTAGTACATGTACACAAGTACTGAAAGTGCATTTTTAATTACTTGTACTTGGCTTGAGAATTTACATGTTATGCTACTTCATGACTACTCTACTACAATTCAGAAGAAAAATATTGTAGGCCTATGTTGTAGGTTACATGTAAAGTATCCACTATATTGCTATTTACATGACAGACTCATATAATTGATGTAAAGTATAATCAACACATTACTATAATATAGCCTATTATTACAATACACAGCAGCAGGATTTAACGTGTGTAAAATTGTCTTCACCTTTACTAACTGCAAGGTTAAGATCATACATGCATTGATCTGTCAAATGATGTATTACGTATTACATAATAAAAAAATATGATAACACTTTATTCTGAAATGGGGCTTTGAGTATACTTTTTCTACTTTAAGTTTATTTTAAAGAAGTGGTAGTACTCATAATTTACGTAAAAGTAGCAATGAAAGCATGTATAAATACTCAAGCAGTACTTAAGGTACACGTTAAATAACACTTCATAATATATTTCTAAATTACAGAAAGTTAAAGCGCTTTTAATGCAAAATGTCTCATTTCATAATTATGTATATTAAAACATTGTATCATGGTGATTGATACATTTTATGTAAGCATAACTTTAATGTTATAGGGGAAAACGTGGATCTTTACTGCTGGGTTGCTTAATCTAAAATACATCATAACAATTATATTTTGTGTTATGTGAGAGGAGTAAAGACAATTTAGACGTAGACGAGCAGAAGTATGAAGGAGGTTCAGTTATTAATACTCATGTAAAGTACAAGTACTTCAAAATTATACTCAAGTACAGCCCTTTAAATTAGCAACAGATACTCTGGTATCTTCTGTATATTTGTAGCAGGTTGTCATTTTAATGAGAGTGTGCAGGGAGTGTAAAGGTTTATTTTAAAATGGGATGTTTCTTGTTGAGGAAAACTGAGAACACCTGAGACAGTTTGACAGATGAGGAAAACAAGATTACAGCATCCTTATGATCCACATAAGTTATCCCTCTATACAAACAGTGTTTCCAGCTGCTCCTAAACATTAATGTAGGAATAGTCTTACATCCAACAGCATCACAGTATTGCATTCACTGTACTGACAAACGTTGGTATCAGTGCTAAAATGGAGTAAATTAGCTGTCACATTGAGAAAATAAATAATAAAAACTTTTAAAGACACAAGAAAGTTGCACCATCATTTTGCACCTGATAAAACGAATGAGGTACCAATATTTAAGAATAGGGCTGGTGATATTTTATTATCAATAATCCGATGTAGGACAAAACAACAACAACAAAGTGACCCAGTAGCCAAAGCTTAATACAACTTTCTCTGTCTGTTCTAGAGCACCATCATTTCACAAAAATGATTAAAAACACATTATTGAGACACATCACATGTTCCCTCCATTATTGTGTATTGAGTCACAGCTAAAAATACACCTTAACAAATGCACTATTTAGTCGTGTTTGAATAACGTTCGCTAAAACTTCAGTGACGAGTTTTGTTCCGGGAAATTATTTAACAGTTGAAAAATATATGACCAGTTTTAAAAGCTTCAATTAAAAATGTAATTTGGCTACTTGGCTGCAGGAATCTACAGTAAGGCTGCAACAATTCTTGTAATTATTGATTAATCTGTAATTGATTTTACCGATTAATCTTATGGTCTATTAAAGATCAGAAAACAACAGTTTAAAGCCCAAATATATTGAAATAACTTCAATATTAGACCAACCCAAAAAGCAGCAAATTCTCCTATTTGAGTCTCCTAGGGATTAGCTGATAATAATGAACATATAAAGTATCACCAGTCTTATCCTCTAGTCTAAACTGTGTGTGTGTGTGTGTGTGTGTGTGTGTGTGTGTGTGTGTGTGTGTGTGTGTGTGTGTGTGTGTGTGTGTGAGTGTACTACTGTCTAAGAAAATGACATAACTGCATAAAATCGCTGCAGGTAGTTTTGACCAAAAACAACCTCTAAGTCCATCACAGTGGCTGTGTTTCTATCTGACCATTAGTCCCTTATCGTCATCTTCTTCTTCCTCTTCTTCACTCGGCCTTCTTGGCCTTGCCGCCTGGTCCACGCAGAGCCGCCCACACACTGCTCAACACCTCGGTGTACAGCAGCGTGCCGAGGAAGACGACCGCCGTGCCCACCCAGTGCCACGTGGTGAAGGGGTTCTGGAAGTACATGATGGAGATGATGAGGCTGAGGAACTTCCTCAGGGTCACCACCAGAGTGACGGTCAGCGAGGCGCACTCTGTGGTCAGGATGAAGACACCTCTGATGCACACATACCTGAAAAACACTGGTTAAAGGCTGTAACAAGAGGGTGAGACAATACTAAATAAATGTGATTTACAATTCAGCTTGAGTCTTGGACAGCCAGTGTATCTTGTTTTGTCTCCAGTGAAGTATTTACAGTTTGTTGATTTCCTCACATAGTTAAAAACAAACAAAATATGTTGTACACTCCAGCTGATAAAAACAAGAATGATTTGTTATTTTAGAAAATAATAAAAAGCGGTTTCTTATCTTTTCACCTGTGAGCTAATTGTGCAATATTTTTTGATACCTGTGTAAACATGAGTTTCAGAGGAGATGTGATCAGTGTTGGGAACAGCGTATCAGGTTATTGGGTTTCTGCCAGTGTATTGAAAGCACACCCAGCTTATTTTTAAAGATGATCCTTAACCTAAAATGGGTGAGGGATACGTTTTCAGGATCTTTTAATAGCATATTAAAAGTTATTCCTTAATTTCAGAATAACTTACATCTTATTTTACCCATTGAATTTGTTTAACCTATATATTTATCTTTTATTTGACAGAATATGCATACTTTATTTACAGTGTTGGAGAAATAATTCACTACCGAAATGTGGATACTCGAACTTTCAGACCACCAACAAACAGCTGTTGACAAATGTTTGATAGCCAACGCTAACTATGACACAAACAGTGTGTCTACTAGCAACCCACCAGAACTATACAATATTTCACAAGAAAAAAGCACGGATTAGAGAGAAAACAAAATGAATGATAAAGTAAAAGTATTTTTTTTAAATATATAATGTTTCTTCCTATTTTCTTAATCAACTCTGGGGCTCTTTTGGAGGTCGGTCACTAGTGTAATCACTTTTCAATTGGATACATAAATAGAAGGTAGTGATATAAACGTGTTTGTCAGGATACTGTGTGATGACGTTGATCAGGAGGTAGAGCCACAATATTGGCATCGTCACTCCGACCACAGGAACAACTGTAGGAGCTGAGAGGGAGAAAAGACAAGTTAATTTACATCTGTGAGAAAAGATGCAATGCTCTCCTGACATAATAACAATAAGATACAAAAGGGCTTTATTGATATTTATTAATAACACTCACTGCTGTGACTGAAGTGGACGGCGTGGTTGTAGATGTCGGTGCAGAGGAGCAGGAAGCCCGGCAGAGGCAGGCAGTGCTACACAGAGATGGAAATACAAAGATCAATAGCTGTTGAAGCCATAATTGATTCCCCAGAGAGAATATTTCCAAAAAGCCCAATCATGTCGCAGCAGGGATAAAACTCACATTATAGAAGAGGGCTTCCTTGGAGTGTTTTCCGTACTGCTTGTACAGTGTCTCCTGGAAAATGCCCATCCTCGCAGACATCAGCAGAGCAAAGGTCAACATGGCGATACCTGAAGAAAACAAAATAATAAAATCACTTTAGGAGATCATGTTAATGGGATAGATGTTAAATCTGAATCTGTCTCTTAAATTGTATTAATTGTACCTTTTCATTTTAAATCTAATTATGACCTTGGTTGGCTTCGTCACACTCATTCCAATAAGGTCAATCGACAGAAGGTTTATTAATATGATTTTGTTACATTTTTTTTGTAGTTTTATCAGCAAAAATGACAAAAACGCTGTTAAACTTAGCTTCTTTTATTATTTATTTATTATTTAACTTAGCTGCTTTCTCTCTTTTATTTGCATGTAAATTAAACATGTTTAAGTATATGTAATTTAAGATATGTCTTTGGCCTGTGGTGAGTTATGATGGACATGTACACATTTTCTTGTCATTTTCTTGACTAAATGATTCACAATGTAATGACAATAATCCATGGTTGCGGTCTTTTCATTTTGAATTGTCAATTGAAAGTGCAACTCACCTATAAGCCAGTGGATCAGTGGGTAAAAGCCTTGCTCTTCTGATCCCTCAGTGGCTACATTCTGCAGAAACAAAATGACAAAATGCCTCAGAAACATTTCAGATCAATGTTGCATGCACTTTGAAAGAGAAGAAGTCTCGTACTGATAAAAAAAGGCAGTTTAGAAAAACAGAGGACTCACCACTTGTTTGGCAGACATGATGGTGCAGATGAAGATACCCGCTGAAATGAAAGCTATAGACAGATATTTACTTGCTGTATACCTGCAGGGGGAGAAGAAGGGGAGACAGAGATTAGTGCTTTTCAACCTGAAGACATGACTTTATCTATATCATATCTGAAGTATCATTGTTTTCAGGAAGGTGTACCTTTTCTTCAGGATGATTATTCCCAGGATCATGTTAGCGATTAGCGAACCCTGCAATGAAACAAGACAGACATTAGACTCAGGTGATATATGGAAGTAATGTCATATTAAAGAAACTCAATAATAAAAGGTTAAAAGAAGACAAAAGGCAGCTCTTACCGATCTGAAGATCATGTGCAGCGGCATGGCGATGTTGAAGTTGAGAGCGTAGTTGTTGATCACACTGACAGTGAAGAACATGGTCACCATGATCACATAGTTGCTGGGGAAGAGAGATGTGAGATAACAGGTTTGTTTTAGTGTCCATTCTACATATTTTCCTGCAGCAGGACGTTCAGACCACCTGGTTGAGTTATTACCGGATAGGGATTGCTGGTTTCTTCGTCCCAAATTTTGTTTCAAAGATGAAACCTTCTAATGCGATGAAGAGGAACTGAGCGAAGGTGACTATGTTTCCACATCCTGGGAACTGTCTGCAGGACACAACAACAAAGAATATCCAGGTGTTATATCCAAGATGTTAAGCTTTAAAGGATGAAATTGCAAAACACAGACTCAATAATTGACATAATTGCATGTGTACGCACCCCAGAAAAAGTGGGTACCTCTATGGCAGAAGGTCATAAGGATTCAATAAAATATACAAATAACTCTGGCATTCACTCCATATGCTTCATGTTCTTCTACTATTTCTTGTTCAATTTCTATTAATGAAAAATATAATAAATATGTTCTTAAAAGAAAGAATATTTATACTATCTTTAAAATCAAGAGATGTTGCCACAAAATGTTGAACTTTGGGATACATTAAGTCATCTCTTATCTTATTCTTAAAAGCACCAATCACTTTAGAGCACTTAATCTATAATAAGTTAAACACAAGTACAAGATAAACTCCTAGTGGCACTTACACGAGAAGCCTTTCTCTGACAAATTGATAATAAATGACTCTACAGTTGCTACGCATTGGATACACGCACACGCACACACACACACACACACACACACACACACACACACACACACACACACACACACACACACACACACACACACACACACACACACACACACACACCACACACACACACACACACACACACACACACACACCCAAAGCAAACACAGCTGTGAAACCTTTTCCTAGTAAAGTGCACAGGAGTTTATACACAGTCTAAGTTTGTCACTGACCTTACAAGCAGCTCCAGAGACACCACGTTACAGCAACATCCCACAAACACCAGAACAATCGCGAAAGCAGTCCCCATGTTGGTGAAAGCAGACAGGAGCTCTGTGGAAAAGGTGTCACTCAATGAAGCGGATTTCTGATCGGTGCATATTTGCAAGTAAATAGCTGATTGTGTGTCTTGCAAGAGATATTCTGCTAACACAAACTCTGAATACGTATGAGATTGAAACTTCCTTATTGCATAGGCTCATGGGAGTTGTAGTTCCTTTCTGACACAACTAGGGGGAAAAGGGTACGCAATGTCCTTAATGTTCTCTGTATTTCAGGGAACATTACAAAATAAATAAAAATACTGTGTAGGGAGCAAAAGTAAGAATAAATATGGGTAAAATATGTGAAACATAACGAATTGAAAGAGTATCATTTTTGCTTTAACAGCGCAATGACTGCGCAACAGTGACGCACACAAACATTCTAACGCATGCGCAGATCAGTTGTCTCTTTAAAATGGAGGTCTCACTCCGCTCAAATCTCTGGACAATATCACTACACCTCTTATATTACAAAACCAGCCCTGCTGCAAAAGCCAAGACACTTAAATATAAAATATAAAAACTTGCAATATACTTTTTTTTAATAATTTATCCGTTTTTTGGTCTCATTAGATTTTCTCTTTTTATGTCTGCCCTCCTTGCGTTTTCATCATGTTTTGCCATCTTTAACCTTTTAGAGTTTTTTTTGTGAATTATACAATGTCCTTGGGTAAACATTGTTTTCAGTCTTAATATATATTTATATCTTCTGGTAAAGTGGGTTTGGGAGGACCCTCCATCTATCTCCATGTGAAAAACATTGATCCCAGATGAGTATGAGTCTGGAACAAATAAAACACTGTCTGGATGGAAAGACTCATCTTTCCATGCAGTGGAGGAAACACCTGGAATCTCTTGGTGTTAAAACTGTCTGGAGTTATCTGGAATATCACTGGACAGTGTCTATGGAAAAATTATGGACTTGAGCTTGTCTATTTTACCATACTTCACTTCTCGTGCATTACTTGCAGTTCAATCTGAAACATTCTCTTGCACTTTTTATTTTTTACTCTTTTTCTTCTTGCGCCATTTCTATTGTTTAAAAAATAAAATGTTGTTTTATACATTTATTTATTTATATACATACATTGTTGGAGGAGCCTGGGACTTAAGATGTTTATTGCCTACATAACTACACTGTAACTACTGTGCATATTCCAAACACATTTTTTAATCTTGAATCTTATACTTACTTCCATGTACTATAACGTGTCATGTTTGGTGGTTTATTTTGTGTGAGCTGCCATTTGAGTCATTTAATTTTTCATTATTATTAGAACAGTCTTGTAACAGAAACTAATTGTAACATGTTGTTGCTGTTCTGTGAGCCTCCTACAGTGGTGTAAAGTAACTAAGTACATTTTCTCAAGTACTGTACTAAAGTACAATTTAGAGGTACTTGGACATTGAGTATTTCAATTTGTTGCTACTTTGTACTTTTACCCCACTACAATTCAGAGGTAAATCGTGTACTTTTACTCCACTATGTATTTAATATCTTAAGTTACTTTGCAAATGTTGATTAATTATTTTTGAAAATTATATTCAACACTTAAACGACTTTAATTACACCTGGAGTAAATTCACAATCTACCTTTCAATATACAAAGTCATTACAACTAGCTGCACCTTTAAGAAAAAAGAAAAAACTATAAAATACAATATTATGAAAAAGGTAAATTGGATGCTTCAAAGTTTCTGGTTCATCTTCTCAATAGACGATCTTTGTTGAAATACGTGTTGCGTGTATCCGGACGACGTGGTGTACCACCGCTCCTCCTGTTGTATCAGTGTGTGCTAACGGCAGAAAGCCGCAGGTTTAATCGTTACGAGAATTTTGTTGTTTGATAAATTCTCCTGCCGCCGCCAACATGATTTCCCTCACGGATTCACAGAGTAAGAGCTGTTCATGTTTCCCCGCTGTTCTCTGTCTCTCTCTGTTGTGACTGTGTAAAAACCCGGTTTGTTAGCTGAATGGATGATGTTAGCATCTCAAACCCCATTGGCTGAGAGCGTCATGACGTCACCTAGCTGCACGTACATGAAGCATTTGTATTATTAAAACTGGGAGACTGTTCTTATCATTTAATGTTTTTACTTTATATTTGTAGTTTTAGTTGAATTTCAAGTGTTACATTTATATTGTTAATTGCATTGATTTGTATCCTTTAATTTGTGTCTATTTTAAGTGTTATCATTTCAGTATTACTACATTGTTAACTTATTTGCTGAAGTAATAACTAATCTACTTTCTTCAAATGTCCTTCTCTTTACAATATTTCATTATACCGTCTTTATTTTTGATAAATAAACACTAGTTTGTTTTACCTCAATAAATTGTTTAAATGTATTTTTGTCTTTTACAGAAATTGGGATGGGGCTGACGGGGTTCGGGGTGTTTTTCCTCTTCTTTGGGATGGTGCTGTTTTTTGATAAAGCTCTCCTCGCCATTGGAAATGTGAGTTGATAAATTATCCTTTAACATCACTGCATGACAGTCGATCATCTCCCTCAGCTCTGACCGTGTGTCTTCTTCTGGTTCAGATCCTGTTTGTGGCCGGCCTCTCCTTCGTCATCGGCCTGGAGCGGACGTTCAGGTTCTTCTTCCAGAAACACAAAGTGAAAGCCACCAGCTTCTTCCTGGGGGGGGTGCTGGTGGTCCTGATCGGCTGGCCGATTATTGGAGTCGTTCTGGAGATCTACGGTTTCTTCCTTTTATTCAGGTCAGCTCAAACACAAAGAAATCAGTGTCATCGTTATCCAGAATCAGAATTATCTTCATCTTCATCTCTCTTTTTGTTACAGAGGATTCTTCCCGGTGGCGGTGGGCTTCATCAGACGAGTACCCATGCTCGGATCTTTGCTCAGTTTACCAGGGATCAGTCGAGTAAGTATCACAACATTAAATGAATGTCCCTTTAAATTATTGCACACTTCAAACCTGCTCTAGAGGCCTGAAAAGTCTTTAATCGGCCTTTGTCTGACATTTATTATATTATGTCTTCATTCGTATCAAAAGCTGCAACTTCATACTATATTTGCAAGTTAAATCCTGGCAAAAAACGGTATTAATCGGCTGTCGTCACTAACAGAACGGCTACAAGTAGTCATGGGACAATCAAAATGTAATGTCACTGGAGAAGGATGTTGTTATTTCTCACAAAAAAGCATACATTTTGAAACTGGAGCCAGAATGTTTGGCTAAAACATTGATTATTAGAATAGTTTCTGATTGATTTCCTGTTGATTGACTCATCTTTTAATCAAATGATAGTTGTAGCTGGAATATAAATCTTCCAAGTTTTTTCTCCATATACTTTAATAAGCATTTGCTTCCTCTTACTCCCTTTCGGACACATATGATTTTTTATTATTATTATTAATATGAAGACTTTTTTTTGTTGAATATATAAATATTATCATGAATGTGGATAAATACTGTATTTTAACAATACGGTATTCTGTTTTTCACATTTGTTATTTTTTATTTGTTATTTTTTTATCTGTTCGAAATAAAGATTGAAATGAAATGAAAAGAGTGATTTTTTTGTCTGATGCAGTTACATCTGTAAAAAATGCAGCTCATAAAAACCTCTCCTGTGTTTTTCTCTTCCAGCTGGTGGATAAAATTGGGGAGAGCAACAACATGGTATAACGGAGGACCGTGTTTGTTTCGAGGAGAGTTTCAGTATTTATCATAGCTTCTAATGGTGACTGTATATTTTGGTCATTGCCACTCCAGAACTGTGAATCCAAACAACCTGTATGTTTGACTGACATCTAATGTTTTGTATCTGACTGCCAAGAGATTTTTTTAATTTCAAAAGCTGGAAGCAGGTCTCCTATTTTGTACCATTCCTGTCTGATATGTATGGACTGATAACATGGGACCACTGGATGAACTCTGCGGAGAGTCAGGGGCTCTTTGAGGGTCCTCTCCTCCAGATCGTGCCTCGACAGACACTGAGAGCACGAGTCCCTCGATGACGTGTTACTGGAACTTTGTACATTCAAGAAACGAATGTTGAGATAAATGTTACCCAGGCGAAGAAACCTGAACTGTTGTGGAAAAGCTCTAAGAAGCTTGTGTTGGAGATGTTTTACTGTACGTTTTGTAAGTGCATACTTGGAATAAAGTGTGTCTTTTATACATTTGTGTTATATTTATTTATAACCTTGGAATCCGTTTGTTTTCCCCTTAAGGGCACCAGTGACATTCTCAATCATCAGCCTCTGTTATCCAACATTTCAGTTCCTGTCTGAAAATATCTAAAACTTATGACTTAAAGAGGCCCTATTATGCTTATTGGGGTTTTCCCTTTCCTCTCGTGTGTTATAGGTTTGTGTGCATGTAAATGGTCTGCAAAGGCTAAAATCTCTGTGATCCCTCCAGAGAGAGTTTCTTTCCCACACACCCTGCCATATTGACATCACTATGTAACACTCACAATTCTGTTAGCTAACGCTCCAAAACATTGTACGTGATAGGCTACTCGTACAATGGAGAGGGACAACTCTAAGCGGTTGACCAATCACAACAGAGCCGGCCAGCTAACAGAGCAGACTGGGGCTCTGGTTTCAGACAGAGGGTGAAAAGAGGTGCTGCAGCACAGGCAGTTTGAGAAAAACAAACGCCTTTTTGAACATTAAAGCATGGAGACATGTCACAGTAGAGGCACAACATACACATATCAATGTAGCCTTGTATCACTATACATATATGAACCTGCGGATGAGGACCTTAGGGTCACAAAGTGTATGTGAGGTTAACGAATGCTGGCGGAAGATGTTATATCTTCCCATATCATTTGCAACAAGAGGGCCAATAATTATTACAAATGAACAAAGCTCAAATTAGCAAAACTAAAAAGATTGTAACTTGTTAGTTTCAGTAAATGAACGTAGATTCCTGTTCATTCACTGGAGGAGAGACAGACACACTTGAACAATATGTCCTGCAGCTTTTTATGACAAGCATCAACAACACTTTATTTCTTGGACTTGAACTTTAGTCTCACTTCTCCTCCGCCCCCGACCTCCTGCAGGTGTCCACACACACACACGCACGCGCACACACACACACACACACCACACACACACACACACACACACACACACACACACACACACACACACACACACACACACACACACACACACACACACACACACACACACACACACACACACACACACACACACACACACACTGTCATCACTTCAGCTCTCCTTCATAAAGCTCTGATCAGTGTCGTCATCATGTCGTGACCCCGGGAAGACCCTGCGCTGCTCGAGGGAGTCTTCAAAAGTTTCCATCTCCGGTGTTTGTGATTAACGACCAGCGACAGTTTCATCACCTGTCACTCGTCAATGGAAAAGTCATGTGAGACGTAATGAGACCAATTAGCCTCATTGGTGACGCTGCATATTAATGAGGCGATTGGTTTTTATCGTAACAGAAGTGATAGAGGAAGCACAAATCACACACCCTGCAGGAGAGCACAACCGAGCACAACACAATCCATTTTCCAGAAAGTCATTAAAGGTAAGCCTATTCTTATTTTATCATCATTATTGTATTATAAGTATGATTATTGTTAATGTAATGTCATTGTAGTTATTGTTTTTTAAGTGTTTTTACATAATCAATTCCTGCTGTTCATGTCTTATAATAAATAATACAGTTTTATTATTTTAATATTTAATAATTTAACAGATTTCTTTTTAATTTAAAATAACTTTTATGTTCTTTTTATAAAGCTATGTATTGTAATCTTAAAGTTAAAAAATATAATTCTACTTTTTGTGAGAAAATGTAAGAACATTTAGTCAACTGTTTATACCACTATGTACTCTGGATTTTAAAGGACAATAGTTAATTAATGAAACCATTATAATTTATTTTGTGTTTAAACATATAATGACTGACAATATTGTAAAATACTCTTAAAGATATCTTCATCTTGAATATTAAATATATCTTTAAAGGATTAACACATTTTGCACACTAATAAACACCCTTCTGTTATCGGCTTATAACTTCATTATATTGTAATAACGGTGATGTGGTTGTTTCCCTCTGTTCAAGTGATTATATTATTTGTAATTCAGTCATTACAGAGTTCCACCATGTCTCTAATTGTCACGCTGCTGGTGGTGACTTTGGCTGCTCAGTGTTGGACTTCCCCACAGGTGGGTCAAAGTCATTTCATTCTCTCTCATATTTAAGCTGAAATTGAAAAAACAAACATATTAAGGAATATAATTATGACGAAACATTTTCTACATCAAAATGCAGCAGAGAAACTGGACTCCTCAGGCCATCTTATACCTAACGGGAGCACGTAAGAATGAATAACTGTACAATTATCTGACACTCAAATTAGGAGGAAACATTGTTTGATGTTGATGTTTTACAGAAGGACATCGCTCAGTTCTGCAGCGCCCCAGCAGAGAGGAAGGAGACACCTTACACTCAGGTGAGCGTGCAGCTAATAACATATATATTAATAACCTGGATACACAAAATGTGCTCCTATTAATGGGTAATACTGTAACTGGTCTCATTGGTATTTGAAGATGATTTAATAATAGAGCCATTATTAAATGGACTTCCACATGTTTTATTCATAATACTTTGCCAGAAAGTGGTGCCTAAAAACATACATGTATCAGTTTGGTACTCTGACTTAACGGTAATATTCTTATATTAGGCAGTATAAAGCTGATTCTATGTATTGTGTCTCTCTTTATGTTTGTAAAACCTTCCTTTCTAGGGCATGTTTTTCTTATCTTGGTCTAAATATCTGGTTCTGTTGTCCCTGCAGTGACTCACAGAGATGGACCGGGTTTGAATTTGTCTTCCTTGTTTCTGGAGCTTCTGCTGCGAGCTGTGGAAGAAGGTAAAACCCTGACAGTTATCACCGCTGCATCACTTAATCTGAGCAATTTAAAGTTACATTTGTGTGTTTCTTTGTCTTCCTCAGCTGCAGGCAATCCAGATAATTACCCAAATGAACAACAGCTGAATCTAAATTATTTGTGAAAACAATTTTCCATTGTATTGTCTTGTTGCTGCACTTTGTTGTTTTTATTAGGATGTTCTGTGTGTTACTACTGTTTGAGTTCACTTGTAGTTCAACGTGTGAAATAAATACAATTCCCTTACCTTGTCTGTGTGTGTTTCACATGGAGGGGATCACACACTTTCCCATGATTATAAAACAGATTTGTGTCAGCTTGGGGCAACAACTAATGAATTCACACTCCACAAGAGACTAACACCACGATAAACACCATTCATCGTCACACCTTCTGAGAGAGGGGGCACAATTAGGTTTATTGGAAATGGCCGCCTGAAGTCAAACAAAGGTCACAAACTGAGAAGGGTTTTATTCTGATATATTTTTGAATAAAACTTAATTTGCATATGGCTCCTAGATGTTTACCACATGATCACTGACCTGACTGCAGGACACAACGGAATGAACCTGGCATTCATTAAAAAGACAAAACTACAATAAAGGATTTTTTTTTTAACGGCTTCATTTTATTTGTATACAATTAACATAACCAGACAGGTCAGAGCTGATAAATGTGGGAGGAAATATCAGATCAACCTTATTTTGCATCGTGTGCATAACAATCTGTGCAAGAAAACCCCATCATTAAACACATAATCCATCCAGTGTCTCCTCTATATTTGATCAATGTCACCTTTCCCCTGCTGACATTATGCACATGTCTATCCTTAAAGTTATTCAAAGATGTACAGAGATATTATATATGTACTATATAACTGCAGAGATAGTTGCACCATAATCTTCCATTACTCTGTTTTACAGCTGTTGTTACCTTGCTAGCAAGACGACTGATATTATTGTCCAAATGTTCTTGTTCTCGTTTATACACATAAAGACTTTCTGTCAGTGATAATACATCCAAATAATTATTATTGGGCAGTGATTCAGTGAAATCCCTGTGTTATATGTGCACAGCATTATAGGATTATAAATGTGACCCTTTTACATAAGCCTTTTTGTTTCCCTTCACTATTGAATAACTGACCCCATGCAGTTTACTGTTAAAGGGACCACAAACTTGCTCTTTCACACATCAAAGCACCACGAGTGACACACAGCAGTACAGCCGAGGACAAATGAGTCAGAGCAGCACTTCCTCCATCACACACTGACAGCTACAGCTAAATCTGATGGGATTAAACTCCCTGTGAGTCTACAGAGGGCGGTGTTTTGAAGGTGGAGCTGTGCTAGTGAATGCAGAGTGATAACACAGCAGGAGGGCTCAGCTACGTCGCCCCCTGCTGTGCGGCTAGACGTCCTGCAGGTCCTTCTGGATGTCCCACAGGGTGCTGGCACTCTCCTGCAGCTGGGACACCTCGTCCTCCGTCAGGGTCATGTTGACAACACTGGCCACGCCCCCGCCGTTCAGCACGCAGGGCAGACTCAGATACACCGCGTCGCTGATGCCATACATGCCCTGCAGACAAGAAAACACAACGTCACTGTCTGTCTGCCAAAAGTCACAGAGAGAGGATACAACAATGTAAAATCATGTGCTCATATTTAAATAAGGGGGATTCATCTATCCAGCTTTTAAACCACTTATAGAAGACAGAAAATACATTTACTAGATATTTCCCCAGGGAGATGCACTTAAATGAACCCATATTCAGTAAAGCTTTGTTATATATTACAGAGGACACACATGTTCACCGTCTGCTATATTGTGTATTCATGTACACATTATGGAAAGATTTTGACATAATAAGTCAAACAAAACAGTGAAAATGTCTCCCTCATCATGCTCTATTGGCATAAAGGAAGCTACAAGCAGAGGATGAATGCACATCGAAATTAAAATTATTATTATTGAATTTGTTTCTTCACACCTGAATAACAATTGAGCTTGAAATTGTAAAAAACTATTTAATTTACATTTTAAAAAGGAGGTATTCACAGTTTTATTTTAATCAGCTTCAGTCAGTTTCAGATTTTGCTTTAGAAGTCGAACTTTAGACTTCAACACATCGATATGATCACGAAGAAATTCAAATATGTGCAAAAGAAAAACAATCTTTGTTGACATTTCTCTCAATAAATCAACAATCAATAACAAAGTTATAGTATATAGTCAAGTTATATAGTAAGTATATTACATTTATGCTCTAAAAGGTACTATTGAAATACTATAACGCAACTCATTCAGACGCTGCTACACGGCAATATAGTGTTTGTAGTCAAGGTTACCGTTAGTATTTTAAACTTAAAGACTCAGGCCCTGCATGGGAAGTTGAATGTGTGTGAGCGCCGTTACCTGCACCATGGTGGAGACCGGGTGGATCCGGTTCATGTTCCTGATGAGGCTCTCCGTCAGGTCGGCCACACTCAGACCGATGGCCCAGTTGGTGTAACCCTTCAGTCGGATCACCTCGTAGGCGCTGAGGGGCACAGGACACAGGAAAGGTGGGGCTGAGTTTTCAGACTGCTTAAAGATTGGATTTATGATAGTTTTTTGTTTTTTTTGAATGGTGATGAAGCAGACCAGAAGTGCAAAAAATAAGCTGATGAAACACAAGAACACTTAGAAGCAGATTTCCCTCAGGACGGCTGCTTTAGTTCTCTAACCTGATGAAAAAGAGATCAAGAGAGAGATAGTGCTGAATGCATAATTAACTCTTTAATATCTTTTACTTTAAGGTGTTTTCACTGTCCTATTTAACTACTACTACTTATACTTAAAAAAAAAAACACCACATAAGTTCATATACACAAGTGAACTGACCTGTCCACCACCATCTTGTGTGTTTCCGCCCAGTTCTCCTCGTCATTCTCTGTGCCGATCTCCGGGTTTAACGTCTGCAGGTTTACTCCGGCCACGTTGGTTCCACTCCACACAGGAACTGATACACACAAAACCATCAACCTCCATCCATACGCTTCACACAGCCACAGTCTGTTATTATCGTAAAATGAAAAAGAATCCTTTGAGAAAAACTTAAACTCAACCGAAAGGATATTGTCTAGTTAGAAAAGGAATAAAAGCAAAATCAGCATGATTGTAAATTAAATTGTTTCTGACTTATAATAATTCTCTACTATGAAAAAAGGAGACAACATGAATTTTGGTCAAAAACTGAATGGACGAGATATTCCAGGCGATAACATTATGAGGCAATAACTTCACAGTTTATCCCTAGTGATTTTCACTTAAAGTCTAGTTGTGTGAAAACAGAAAACAATAACATGATGTACATTTTATTGGAGATTATTTAACCAAGCTATTCAGAGGGTGGTACTCAAATTGAATCCCAATACAAAATATTTGAACACTACTGCTGTTCATACACAGCTCTCTCACCATGTATTTTGTATGTACAGTACGAGTAGCTACATACTTCTGAGACATACCTGGCCCCACAGAAAAATAACTCAAAACATAAAACAATATACATGTCCGAAAACTAAGAAGATACTCGCTAACTTAACAAATTAAACACAAATGGACATTTCTAAACCATATTAACTTTCAATGTTTCTCAATGACATCAAAGTATTCTGACCAATCACGAATCCCCTGCCTCCTCACCACTGGTGTCTCCGTGCTCTCCCAGGATCCAGCCGTTGAAGCTGCTGGGATGGATCCCCAGTTTTTCCGCCATCAGGAAGCGGAAGCGAGCCGAGTCCAAGTTTGTGCCGCTGCCGATGACTCGGTGCTTAGGAAGGCCGCTCAGCTTCCAGGTCACATAGGTCAGCACATCAACTGTTGAAGAGAGTCAGCGTTATCAGAGTCTGAACACTGTGTCTCTGCTGTGTGAGAGAGGAAACACAGGATGTCAAATGTGTGTTTGGCAGCACCTGGGTTGGAAACCACGATGATGATGCAGTTGGGGCTGTATCTGACGATCAGAGGGACGATGTGTTTGAAGATGTTGACGTTTCTCTGGACGAGGTTCAGCCGGCTCTCCCCCTCCTGCTGACGGACCCCGGCCGTCACCACGACGATGCGGGAGTTTGCCGTCACAGAGTAATCTGAGAGAGGAGGAATACATACGTCTTAATGGTTAAGTGTCTTCATGTATAGATTAATAGGCAAAAATATAGATTTTTGTTCATACACTTGTCAATTTTGAGAGTTTTTCTACTAAATTCACCAAACGTTAGCAATAAATAATGCCTCAGTTGCATCTTTAGACAAATGTTTTCTGAAAACGTATTAAAAATAATTGTCTTATTGTAAATAATTAATAAAGAAAAAGCCATAAATCCCCACTTCAGTAACATTTATATACAGTAACATTTCCAGTTGTGTCTATATTCTGAAGGAAGGGTTTGTTCATATATAATTCATAGGGTATGTGACGTATAAACTCGCCTGTGTCCGCGACTATTTTGGGGGTTTTGAGGAACAGGCTGCCGTGCTGCAGGTCCATCATCTCTCCTTTCAGCTTGTCCTCCATCACATCCACCAGGGCCAGTTCATCCGTCAGCTCCTGCACACACCAACACACCAGGAAACTCAGAACAACAGCTCACAGTAAACTCATTACTCATCAATGAAAAAGTTCTCCTGTTCTCCTATAAGGCCGCAAGCATATGATTCTTTGATACCTTTACACAGATGACACTCTTACCCTGAGCAGGATGCTGACAGCACAGGCCATGCCCACCTGGCCCACTCCCACCACCGTCACTTTATTCCTGGGGAGCTCAGGAGGCCCGCTGAACAGAGGGGTGATGAGCTTCTGCAGAATTGAGGCCATGTTCAGATCTGCGGAGGGTAAAATAATAGAAGGGGAGAGCAGAATGGATCTGGTCAGAAAACATGTCGACTGCAGAGGAGCGACAAACAGTACGCACGGACACAAGTAAGGAGAACAGTCCTGCATCCAGAAAGCAGGCTACGTGCTCTAATTTCATAAATACTGCATTTAGAATCAGGATGACTCGAGTGTAGAGGCATGACATTGATCTTAGTGGCTCTAATAGAAGCATGACTTCGCTGTCATCTCACTCCATTAAAAATAAAATAAATAAAACACATTTCCTTTACACCTTTCTGCAGAGTTCACCTTGAAATGACAAGCAGCCTGAGTAACAAAAACAGCAGCAATACTTGCAATGTTTGGCGATGCTCCGAGCTGAGATGTATAAATACCAGCAAGTAATCAGCATGACAGAGTGACAGGACACCTAAAGGTGTGTTACTGTCTGAATCCACAACACCCCCCACACTCCCTGTGTGCAGCCCGGTCAGCTACAGCGTAGAAGAGGGGACATGTGACTCAGGGCCAACTCTTCTCCCTCCCTCCTCCCCCTCCTCCCCAAATGGAAGACTAGGCACTATAATCTCATGTTGAACTTCACTGGCTGACTGCAGACAGTTAAAGGAGTTACGGTAATCCGTTAACGCTGCCTCCATCTGCTGCACCTGAACTTCAGATGAGCAACTTGTCTCTAATAGGATGTCTATACAGAACAATAACAAATGACTTTCTTCAAATACAGTGTACTTAATACATGATGTTACTTAAGTGGAGTATAGTGCATGTTCTCTTATACAGCTATGATATTGCGACTGTTTAATAAGAACAGGTTGAAATCTGTTAGGACATCTGTTAATCCCGTCAGATTTAGCTGTAGCTGTCAGTGTGTGATGGAGGGGGGTGCTGCTCTGACTCATCTGTCCTGGGCTCTGCTGCTGTGTGTCACTCGTGGCGCTTTGGTGTGTGTGATGAAGCAATGTGCCATCTCTCATTCTAATAATTTGACATCTCTGAGAAAGAATACGAGTCCCATTAAAGGTGCCGTGTCCATTCATTAGCCTTGAGTGAAACTGGATTAGCAGGAGAAAGCGCTGTGGACTGAACACACGTAAACACGAGGAGGTAATAAAGTGGCTTAAGCCTGCAAGTTTACCAAAGGGGCAGAATGTGTCACAACCTTTAATTAGGCAAAGTAAAAACACTGTTGGTACCTTAATGATTGAGGAGCCAAAGTATCATCAGAGAATTTGCAATCACAAGACAGCTGCCGATTGTTTAAATGTGACTTAGAACGTTAAATGCCCTAAGTAAACTTGAACTCAGACAGCGCTGTGCAGACGGCAGACAGCACTTTAAGAACTGTAATCCAAAAACAGACCATTTTAGTACCACTATATAGTAAAGGGACAATACATACAGGTATATAACTTTGACAGCAATATTTCGTCAAAACAGCCGTTCTTATTATATAGGTAATTATTGGATGAGTAAAAAGGGTTCCAGATAAACTATATTTAAAGCCTATTACTCACAAGAAAGACGCATTTCCCAAACAACTGATATTGAGATATAATTATCTTTTTGTGAATAAACAACCAAAAACATCGTATTTTTTGTACATTTTCCCCCATTTTTCTGCATGGTTCAGATGGTGTTAGAGTACCTGGAGATAAACAAACAAACTGGAAACGTACACACCTAGTGACAAAAGTAAGTAGATCCAATCATACAAAGTGGATAGATTTCATTGCAATTCTACAAAGTTACAAAAAAGCACCAAATCTGCATGGAAAACAGGAAGAGGTGCTAAAAATGTACCCGTTATCACTTTATAAAGAAAAGATTACACATTTCCCCCCAGTCAGACACAACATACCTAAATCCATTTAAATCCACTTCCAATGTGTCCTGCTGATTTTTTTAAAGAAACCCACGGCTGTTTACCTATTTTGTCTTGAGCGTCCACTTCCTTGGGGTTCAAGTCCTTGTCCTTTCTTCAATTCGACTCACCCATGACGTGCGGGACTCTGTGCCTGTTCCCCTTCCTGTTTTGTGATCAGGCTGCAGCCAACTGGATTTAATTGACTAAGCCTCTCCATCCTCTACAAAGTCTCAGTTTGGAGATCCAAGGGTCACCTAGGTACAACGCTCACCAAAAACAACACATACTTCCTGTTGAATAGAATGAAAAAATAATGTTTTAAAAGATTGATCATCATTTGGATTTCTATGCATTTTCAAACCTTTTTTTTTCATACTGATTGGGCCTCATTCACCAGTACTATCTTAAATCCGTTGTTACATTTGTTCTTAAGAAAAGTCCTAAGAGAACCTACTTTCATGCTGTGTTATTAACAGAAGAAATGTTTGTATCAGTGTTATTAAAAAGATGAATCCCATTGTTCTTTTAAAATAAAAGCATGTGCCAATTGTTCCTCATTCGCTGGCTCCCCATCAATCTGTATAAAAAAGGACTGCAGGGAAGTGGGCGCAGAAAAACAAAATATAGAAATTTGGGATCTAAGTCAATAATACCGAAACAAAGTCTAGACAGCGGAGCCTCAAACATCAAATGTAAAAAGGGATGCTATTACTTTTCTAGTTGTCAAGTGTTTGTGTATAATTCAATTCCTCTAATTCATGTATTGTAAAACAATACATTATTAAAAATAAAAATATTTTGGGAATATTTATCCCATTTCATACAACTTTGGAATTTAAGAACAATGCCATCACTTATTATTCTCTTGAGTGTGCATTTATTGTGTTCTTACCTAAAAACAAACTCCTCCAGAACTGATGGATTTTAGGGAGGGATGAAAGGTTTCAGTCATTTACTCTTTACCCTTAAATCTGAGCGCCTCGAGGACCCTGGCTGCCGGGCTGCAGTTCTGAGTGAAGCACAAACACCACTGAGCCAGCAGGGGGAGAATCAAAGTTAGAGCACAACCACTGCAGAGAAAACTGTAGAACAAACACCTGATCAACTCTGCAGCAACACTGAGATAGTGGTCAAACCTTGCATTGAATACATAATGGCTATTAGTGTTTGATGACAATCCGGTCATGTTGTTAACCTCAGAATATGAAAAGTTCCTTAGGACTAATTCAAAATCATTCAGCCAATTGAAGTTGATGATTGAATGTGTTGCACTCAGAAACTGCCAACACATACACATAACATGTAGTTATTTGGGTCTCAACTTGGTTACCAATGACCTAAGTATGTATTTTAAAGGCTATTCTAAATGACTAGTTAATAGTTTTAAAAATGCAAAGACTAGCTCAAAACATTCATGCTATATGACCCAGGTCGTTTAAGGTCACTTGAAGCATCGAGGACTTCACTAAGGAGGAGTGTGTGTAGCTCTTACCTTAAATAACTCATTATACCCTACTGTCCTACTAGGGCATTGCGTTCCAAGAATGCAGGGTTGTTGGTTGTTCCTAGAGTCTCTAAAAGTACAATGGGAGCCAGAGTCTTTTCTTATCAAGCTCCACATTTGTGGAATCGGCTTCCAGTTTGTGTTCGGGCGGCAGACACCCTATCCGTTTTTTAAGAGTGCGCTTAAGACCTTCCTTTTTGATAAAGCTTATAGTTAGGGCTGATTAGATTCAGCCCCTAGTTTTGCTGATATAGGCTTAGTTTGTCGGGGGACATCTTACTTCTTCCTTCTCTCTGTCTATACCTGTGTACTCTCATGTTCCGAATAACCCAGCTTCACCAAATTTCTTTCTTTTTGATGTCTATATACGCTGGGATCCGGAGACATGGATGATCCTGCGGTCCTGTGTCCTGGATCGCGAGCCCTGGATCTTGAGTCGTGGCTGTGGTCCTGGATCATAGGTCCTGGATGGATATCCTAGTGGATTCATCTTTCTATTATACACACATGTATTTCCAAACATTTGGACTACCTATGTTGCAAATGTATTATCTTTTCAATTTACACACGGCATCTATTGCACGTCTGTCCGTCCTGGGAGAGGGATCCCTCCTCTGTTGCTCTCCCTGAGGTTTCTCCCATTTTTCCCTTTAAACTGTGGGTTTTCTCTGGAAGTTTTTCCTTGTACGATGTGAGGGTCTAAGGACAGAGGGTGTCGTATTGTCATACTGATATTCTGTACACACTGAAGACCACTGAGACAAATGTAACATTTGTGATATTGGGCTATATAAATAAACATTGATTGATTGTAGTCGGCCCCACGGCTACGTTCATATCAGTATTCGATGGAGAGACAATGGGGGTCTGTCACATTAAGAAAAGGAGCAGGTCTTCTTCTCTCAGCACCTGGAGGAACCACTGGACTGAAGACACTAGTGTGCACTGAAAAACTGAAATGTGTGAAACTAAGGCTGCAGCCACACGAGGACAAAAACGTCTAAACGCATAGGATTAACGCAAACGCAATCACAAACAAGCTTCCGTCCACACGCAATAATCATCCGGATAGTGTCTGTCCACACGAGACCGCTCCGTTTAGCTCCAACCGCTGGAGAAGCTGCAGTACATATGCAGGAGCCTGTACCTGGCGCTGTAACTTCCTCCACAAAAGCAGCGAAGAAGCATGGTTGTCATGGTTGCCCTTCTGTTTATTCTCCGCGGTGGGGGCCGAGGGAACCGGGCAGAGTTTTTCGCCAGTCAACGTGTATTAAAGTTTAAATCTTCCGACAAAATTATAAAAGTGCCGGTCAAAGGTCTTCTTTGCTATTTATTGAGCTTTAAAACAAATGAATAATGACTATATATAATATAATAATAAAATACACGGAGCCTCTCTTTTTCCTCCCTCTCTTCAGACAGCGTCAGTGTCTGTTTCATGCAGCAGCTGATCCAGTAATGAGTGACCCGGCCGACAGTAAAAATAAACATATTTATGACTAGTTTAGGTAGTTTGAGAGGTGTCTCCGTCCTGTCAGATTAGACTTCACTCGCGTTTATGTCCATATCGAGAGAAAGATAAATAATCTGAATTCAGTGTGCAGTTTACTTTGACGCGGGGGTGAGCAGCAGAGGTGGGGAGAGGCGGGGCTATTGCGCAATCATTATCAGAACATGAGGGCGTACACACGGAGCTGTTTGACCCCCCAGAGCGTTGCGTATGCCGTTCTATCCACCTTGGGACCCGTTATCGTTTCCTCAGTCGTTTAGTGCTGTATGCGGTCGTCCTCGTGTGGCCGAATGGTATATAATATATGACACTAAACAGTAACGCAAACGGCCGTTGTTGTCCTCGTGTGGCTGCAGGAGGCTGCAGCCACACGAGGACAAAAACGGCCGTCCAGGGGGGATCTTACTCGCTAATTTTGTCGGAAGGTTTAAACTTGAATACACGTTGACTGGCGAAAAACTCTGCCCGGTTCCCTCTGCCCCCACCGCGGAGAATAAACAGAAGGGCAACCATGACAACCATGCTTCTTCGCTGCTTTTGTGGAGGAAGTTACAGCGCCACGTACAGGCTCCTGCATATGTACTGCAGCTTCTCCAGCGGTTGGAGCTAAACGGAGCGGTCTCGTGTGGGCAGACACTAGGCTTGTTTGAGACAAGCGAGACCTGCGCAATTTCGATCAACGTCTTGCTAGTGCGTTGCATGATGGTTAGTCATTTTGTCCGACTTGCTCTGGAGGCTCGCCTACATGAGACGTTGAAATCTCGCGGGACAAAGACGCCCGCAGCCTTGAGAGCGAGGCGCGGCGAGGCGGCGCAGTTCCTCTCCACGGGCTGCGGAAGCGAAATGCTTGATGGGAAACGTCTCGCTGGTATCTCGAGCTGAGCGCTCATTGGTGGTTTTTTCCACGTGCTGCTGATGAAACTCTCCAATTGGCTCGGCAAAAGTTTGTTGTTGTTTTGTGTCCGTTTTACGTCGCCATTTCCATTCACATTTTTCATCATTGTTCAACAATGTTTATCATCATGACATTAATATCTATATATTTTATACTATACTTGCACTGCTTACCGTTTTCATACTTTATATATCTTAGCATATTCATACACACTGTTCATACTGCTCACAGGCTGATATCTAGTGTATTCATAGCCCTCACTGTTTATTCATCATTCAATTCATTCTATATTTTATTCTGTCTATTGTGTACATTACTTTTCACTTTACTGCTTGTTGCACCTGGTTAGAAGCTAAACTGCATTTCGTTGTCTCAGTACCTGTAATATGTGCAATAACAATAAAGTTGAATCTAATCTGGAGCAGGAACAAATGTATTTACTTAGTACATATCTGACATTAATGATTAAACACATGTGTGCATTCTTTATAAATGCAAACCGAGTCAAGCCGACTCCGGAGGTGGCGGTATGCACCTTAAAGTTGTTTGCAATCCGCCAAAAAACCGAGAGAAGAAGAAGAGGACGAAGCCGACTCCGAGCTGTCCGACTTCAGGCGAGCTTTTTGAGACCTCCCCCGGCTGCGATCGGCTATTCTCGTCTACTTTCGAGGCGAGCCGCAACGCGTCTCAAACAAGCCTACTATCCGGATAACAATTGCGTGTGGACGGAAGCTTGTTTGCGATTGCGTTTGCGTTAATCCTATGCGTTTAGCCGTTGTCGTCCTCGTGTGGCCGGGGTCTAAGAGATTAAACAATTATAGCTGTTGTTTGGATTAGGAAAATTACACTTTAAATTCACGATAAATAAACATATACGTTAAACGTTGGCCCGGCTCGGTCAAGCTGTCACGCAACATATCCTTACAAGGAAAGAGGTCAGAAGAATATAATAAAATATAGCACAGTAAGGAAAGGTGATCTGAAACCTTACTTACGGTAAATCATTAACGCCTTTTTCTAAGTATTATTAATAAAGTAGTTTAAGACGATGCCTGTGCTGCTGCTGCTTTTTTTAAAGGGTTAATTAACGGATTAAAAATTGAGATGGCATGTGTTACTTTCACTTTAAGACACATCTTTACATAACCCCTATTTAATTTGTGAAGCATGACATTTGTGTAAACTTTAAATATAACATTAAAAAAATTACCTGAAAGTATGGATTGATTTGGAAAATGTTTAGCAGCGTTGAATACATGTTTTGAAAGACACATTTTAAATCACTGGTGCGTCCCAGACGGCCCTTAAACAACACACAGAACAATATATCTGGTAACAGCCACGTTTATTTTATGATACACTGCTTATAATATCATAAATACATGATTAAAAATCCTTAACCACATAACCCTAGTTGTTTCTGTCCATTGTGGGATCTGCCTGATAATTAATCACTCGTTAAGTCAGCAAAATTAAAATTCAGTATCACTTTCATGTTTTTCCTATTGCTTTCAAATGTTACCTTAAAATATGCTATAAAAAAATTCAACACGCCATTTTAGAAAAATATCAAAATAGAAACAAAGATGCCCCGGAAATCTTTCCACGCCCATCATCACCTCCGTTGACCCCCCCCCCCCCCTGCAGGTGACATACAGTCTCTTCATCGTGGGTATTCGGCTCTGGTAGAAGTGGTCAAAGAGGCCTGAAGAGCTTGAATTGATTTACTGTCCCAAAAGGAGTAACTTTCTCCATGCGTCTTCTCTGCAGATCTACCATAATTTGACACATGCAGAGTGAGGTGGGCTATGTGGTGCATGGCAACAGCCAGTCCTGCGTAAAGGACTGAAGGATCAGAAATCTGACAAAGAAAGCACAGCAAAGCACTAAAACCAAAAGCATGTAAACTCAAATCAGCACACTGGCAGGGCTGGAAATTCACAAATCATACACAGCAACTTCAGTTTCCCTCAGGAAGAGAAATGTCAAATAAGTATTACATGATCAATAATCAAACGCTGTTTCGTTAAGAACTTGATTTGAATGTTGTGATGAAAGTAAATAATCATGATAACAATACGGAGTGATCAGAAAGTACTTTTTTTCGTAATTAAAAAGAGCCCCATTTACAATGATAAAAGCTGTGTTCAGCCACTGATCACTTTTCTTTGTATATCTTAACCTGGACTTGGGCAGATTTTCCTCATGCAGTGATGGAACCTGATTACTCCGAGTCTCCTCCCAGCAAGGACCACATACAAAATAAAAAATAAAACGTTGAGCTGAATTGACCTGAGCACCATTGAAATAATAAATCACTCTACCTAACTGTAAAATTCCTCTGGAAACACAAAAACATTCTGGTTAAGTAGTAGCACTGCTTTGTGCTTAAACTGGGACGTGCTAAGAGTGTCCAGGCACTTCACAGTCAGAAAAAAGCCTGGCACAGAGAGTTAGAAACTACAGTATGACCTTCATAGACTACAACCATGCATGGATAAACTGGCCTCTCCATCCTGCACCTGTTCTTCTACATACAAGGGTTAAATACGCACAAAGACACAAACAATTCACAGATTAAAAACAACATTAAATGAGTCTCTTCTGACTGCCACAAAACAGTGTTATCCAGAAGCTACTGTGATCCTCTTGTGGTGTGAGGGAAGCTGCGGTCCAGAGAGGAGAAAGTTCATGGCTACAATTCAATCTGTAACCTCTGTCCAAAAACACTTGGGTAAAGAGAAGGTGAGCCAAGTTTACTGCGTGTGCTGTGTGTGTGGCAGGCGGCAGGGAGATGGTGGTGGTGGTGGGGGGGGGGGGGGGAGATGAGAGACTGCGTCTTTACTTGCCGGCGACGCTGCTGCCGAGGCCCAGGTAGCGGGCTGCGTTCTTCACAGCGCCCTGAAGGGGGACGACGACGCTCTCCAGGAGACCTTTGAGGGCGTTGATGTTATCTGCATCCAGGTTCTGGTAGACATAGAAGAGAGAAGCAGCCACCGCCACAAGGAGCAGGAGCTTGAACAAGATGGAGAGGAAGCCTGCTTGGGCTGGAGCTTTGCTCGAAGAGACGGAGCTGCCCCCTCTGGAGAAAGACTCGGAGAAAGAGCGGGGCTCAGAGTGGACGCTGCGCTTCACACGGGACTCATCCAGCCAGTAGTCACTGGGCTGCAATGGCCGCCCAGCTGCCCCTCGGATCGGACGCCTGCAGGTCGCACTGAGCAGGGAAAAGAAAGTCAACCTTATAGGCGAGACACAAGAGTAGACCATCTGGAGCTTTTAATTCAGGGTATATGCAGGAATCCTGAAGTCAGATGTAAGACCTATTAAGACCCTTTCCGTACATTTTAAGACCTCATCGCCACTTCGAGTTTTAACCGGTTACATTGGCGACACACTTTACCTCACATTATACAGTATTGATTGTTCTTCCTCCTTATCTTCCAACCATTTGGACGCAAACTTGCATTTCCCCATAACGATGTTGTTTAACAACCGGCGTAAACGGACCTTCGCGCTATCAAGCAGTGAGCGTGCGATGTCCTGTTCAGATGACGTCAAATCCAACGGGATGCCATAAATAAACTACACAGAATCACACTACACACCTACGCAATGATTACATTCAGGCAAACTGTAGAATACAACCTCTTTGGACAATTTATATACTTATTGAAAACAAGCTACAAAATGTAATACCTTGGAAAATGCCGTTTAATACTTTTTAATAGCCTTAATTTTCGCTAAATTGATTTATCAACTTTTAATACTTTTTAAGACCCCGCGGACACCGTGACCAAGAACTAGGTTCGTTATCAAATAATACGCCAAAGAAAATGTCAGAAAATTGTGGGAAAACTTCCATCCCTGTTTCTAAAAGTCCAAGTTGAGGATTTGTTTTGCAAAACCAAAACATACTCAGTTTAATGAGTAAAGCAGAGAAAGGCACCAAAGTCTTCATATTGGAGTTGCTGAAAAAAGCATTAACTGCCATTTCTCCATGAAAAATGCCTTTTAAAATGTACAAAGTAAGGATGTGAAATTGAATTGAAAGCTCTTGGAAAAACTAAGTGAACCTTGATTCAAGATTTAAAATAATATATTATTTAATAACCAAACGTGTGTTGTCAATGATCTTTTTTATGTTCAACTTTCCAGCTTATATTTGGGTTATTATTTTGCAGGAAAAGATTCACGTCCGTTACCTCAAGGCTGTTGGTGTGCTTATTTCATTGGCGAGGATATCTTCCACCACACTCTCGCTGGCCTTCTTCGGGGTTTCCTCAGTAAGAATGTCCTCCTCCACCACCACCTGTGGGTGTCATTAGAAAGCAGTGTTAAATCAAACTAAAAATATAAGAGAGAGATAAGATAACAAGTACTTTATTGATCCAAATTTGGGAAATGTTTGCGTTGCAGCAGCATAAAAAGACAATAAAAATGTAAAGACAAGAAATAAACAAGAAAGTAGAAAATATACATGTTGAATTTACAAATGAACAATAACAAGATTTAAAGCAAGGTATTATACATAAGTATGTGACAGATGGAATATTAAATGTGAAACTGAATAGATAAATGTAAAATGTACAGTGAGATTTTATTGGATATCTATTTCTAAGATTGGAACTGGTTAAATGTCTCACCTTAGCGAGTCGTCTGCTGCTGGTTCTGGACGTAACTGGAGTTTTCCCTCGGCTCCTCACAGCCTTCTCCACCACGGGAACGGGCTCCTCAGCAATCTCCTCTGAAAACACACGTAATGTTTAAACAAACAAAGTTTAAGTGAATAAACAACATGAGTTAAGCTTTGTCAGAGCTCAGCTTACCATCTTCCTTGTCACTGTAGTGGTCAGAGTTTGTGTTTCCGTTCTGGTTACTGTCCACCTTGGGGAGAGCTGTGACCTCTGTGACCTCTGCAGGAGCTTCAGGCTCGGCTGGAGGCTGCTCCAAAACCTTCTGCAGCTTCTTCTCATACAGGTTACGGGTGGTGGCTGTATGAAGGGGAGGAGGGGACAATAAAGGATGAATAACATACAATACATTGATGGATTTTATGTAATTTGGTTCAATTGAGTCTGATAACTTGCATCAGTGTTCGTACAGCTTTAAAAAAAAAAATTCAAGCATTTTTCCAGGTAACCAAATTAAAAACCAAGAGCCTCAAAGCAGTTTTCCTCATATCTAAATATTAACTACAAATGCAATTGTGGAAAATATAACTTTAAACAATGTCTTTATGCCCAAAGATATCTATGCATGTTGTCACTTATTTGGCCAGCTGTTCTTATAAACACTGATAGTATGGTTTACATAAGCAATGATGTAGATTAGACACCAGATAATGTTGCAAAATCAAGCATTTTCCACATTTTATATACAAGGATATACCTAGCCTTAAAAATCGACGATTAAAATAAATAAATATTTAAACATGATCTAAACTTCATCTAATAACCATGTTTGGAATGCAGCTGGTCAAATGTCTGAAAAAGCTTTAAGTAAACATCTGTTGGTGAAAATATGAATGTAGCGTTTACTTAAATGAGTGATTGTAACTGGATTTAAAAACACAACATATCAATTTTGAAATTAGACTAAAACATGTCAACACAAAGTTAGATGCACTCATTTTAAGTTTACTTTAAATTAATTGCTTTGTTACTTTGATTTCAAAAGTGGTAAAAACATAATGATGATAAATATATTACTTATTTCATGCCTTTGTATTAAAAAAAAAAATGCAATCTAATCCTTTATCCCATATTGGAAACATTTTTGTTCCACAAAAGACTGAGATGGGGCTCCATGAACTCACCAACAATGGGTCCCGTTTCCACACCATGTTTGTCCAGCTGTTGTTTTAAATCTTCATCTGTGAGATCTGTCACCTCGGCTTCCTCTGAGCGAGGCTTGTCTGTCTTTTTTGTAGCTTTCTGCAAGAAAGATTTAAGTTGCATATCATTCATCAACTCGCAACTTAAACGTGTCCCATCATTCAGCACCACTTCACAGTTAATACGTGAATTAACAGAACAATTAAATAAAACCTACTCTTCCAGATCGACTTTTGTTGGATACCACGGGAGTGGGCAACTCTTCATCGCTGGAGAAGGTGTCTACAGGCGGGCTCTTCTCGTTGAGCACCGTTAGGTTCTTCAGATACAGCTGAACGTACACCTCTTTCTTATGCTCTCCGTTGGGAAGTGCCACATTGTTGGCCGTGAGCTCATTCTTCAGCTTATCCTTCGTGAGGACCGACGGATCTTCCAGGAATTCAGCCATGCTTTTTATTTTTAATCTATCGTGGTGCGCTTTTGTCTTTTCTGCAGTTTGCGCCTAAACGGAAACTAGCTCAGTTCACTTTAGCGGCTACAAACAACAACACCGGGAAACGTGACTGAACCGCGCTGTTGTCAAACACCCGACTGGCGCCAATTTAGCTCGCTAGCACAGAAGCGGCTTACAAAGTAAATACCGGGTTTAAGTGTTAGCCTGCTGGCTGTTATAGGAACAGATAGCTTTGGTATTTTTCAATCTGATCCGAGCATGTGCCGCAAACGGGACAAATGAAAACTATCAAAACAAAAAAAGCGCAAATTTGATTGAATTAGCTTAGCTTAAAACCGGTCTACTTGTGCTCTGTCTGTCCGCGGTCTCAACAGGGCCCCAACAACAACAACCAGCCCTGCTATTGGACGAGAGGTGTCAGTAAGCTGCCCTCTGATTGGCTGGCTATGATTGGGAAGGCCACAAAGAAACGGCAGCAGGCCGTGTGTTTACAATGGGCGTTATACATCCATGGTTAAATCCCGCATACGCTATTTACACTAGTGTCTGATTTAACTGGCGTTAGTGTTTTTAAGAAGTAGACAAATAAAAATGTACATTATTTATTTGAGTAGCATTGAGTGACGACAGAACAATGCTAATAGTGGTTAGATTGTAGTGGTTGCTAACAGGAGTTCCACCTGTGTAGCATGTTTGTAGCAAGAGTTATATAGTTGGTTTCAGTGCATTTCTTAGATTACAATTGCAATTTTCAACCAAATGTGTTTAAACTCCACATCATCTAGTCACTTTTTCACATCATAAAAGCATTTTTCGACAGTCCTCGTGTAGTTTTTCGTCCATTATGATTGTTAACCTTTTATTATTTCCCTTCTTAAACGGTTTGTCATACTTTTGACTGTAGTAGGGAGGGTGGGTGTGTTAAGACTCAACACGTGTTGGTTTATGTTCAACTATCTGTTGTAAGACAAACAAATTACAAGCCCCTTCAATTAATGTTATTATGTACTGCTGTTTTATTATCAAAAGCCTTACCCCTCAAATCATGTAGGCAATAGGCATCACTTCATGGTATACCAAGTCATTTCATGGACAAAATATGTTGTGAATTGATTAATTGCTTTCAGGTAAAGTTCTACCAAATAATTGTTCCTATTATTTTATATATAAATATATCTTTTGTGGGTTGCAGTGTTGTTAAACAGTCCTGTCAATCCTGTCCAATCTTTTGAAATCCATCTCCTACAGTTATGTGTAACTTTTTACTGTTTAAACTGGATTTAGCATACAATCCATACATTTCTGCTGTTACAGATTGATTTAAGAAAAGCCCTTAAAGTTTTGTAAATGTTGTTGTTGATTAGAACAAATTCCCAAGAAGACTGATGAACGTTTTAGTAGTTAATGAATAATAACCAAGGATTTAAAAAAAAATATAACATCATGTGGTAGTGAATCAATGTTGAGCTATTTAGACGAAGTTTGCCTCCCTTTACAGAAGAGGGCAGCATGAGCCACACTTTTCAAAAGAAATATGGGTCAAGTTCTATTGGATTTTTCAAAAACGTTTTTTCTTGTTTTAGAGTAGTAAAGTTGAGGAGACACAATGGCATCCGCACGATGACCATATGTTTTCAACTTTGTCCTGGGCGCATCTTGATACCTACACAATCATATGTTACAGTACGAGAAGTAAAAGTAAAATCAAGAACAGAAGACGCACAATAATTCCTTTCTTCCAGTCCCTTTTTTTGACATATTTGAAAAACTTTATACCTTTTAGTCAGTAATAAAAGATTAAATTATAAATAAAAGCACATAATTGACAGATGATTCAATAATGAAAATATTCTAAAGTTGCAGGCCTACATACTCGCACACAGACATGGCAGTGTTTGACCTCCTGCCTGTCTCAGGCCTCTAACTCTGCGGTGGAGCCCCCCCTTCCCACCGTGGGGACAGCGGTTTGAGGTGGCACTGTGTGGCTCCCCACCTGTCCTTCAGACCTGCCTCTCTGGGGCTTTCTGGGATGCTGCTGCAGAAACCAAGCAATTGATCCCCACCTCGGCTCCAAACCACACTAAAATACAGCACTTCAAGTATAGTTCAGCTTTTCCATAGTGTATTTGCCAATGGAGTGTAAGCATAAAAAATGTTGAGCCCTTGAGAAACACCTCTTAAGCTTTCTTTGTATGTAATTTATACAGAAAATAAGGCACGGGCCAAGAATCATAGAGAGTGCCTCTTTAAGCATAACAGTCATGGCCTCTGAAAAATGATCAAAGCCCGTTCTTTAATCGTCAACATTCACGTTTTCAGAATGAGTTCATTTTAAATGGAACTGCTCTACCTGACGTTGACCGGTCAGCATAATCAACGACATTTCTTGACGGATGATTGTAAAATAAATCTAGGGAACAAATGAACCAACTGGCAGGGGAAAGACAAAAAGCAAGTTACGGGGAAATTCAAGTCCAGTTGCTTCAAGGAAGTTGGATTGAGCCGTTAAATGGTAAGTTTTTGGAAAAGACTGCACATCTCAAACTAAAACATCCATGTTCTAAAAGTGTTTCTTGATCACTTAGACAAATGTTGAACACAGACTCCTTAGTAAAGTTTATCTTGGATTTCAAACATTTGTAAATCCCAATTGAGCCAACCGCAGAAGTAGCTTAGGAAAAGTCAACCTTTACCACCCAGAGGATGTCTGATCCAATTCCACTGACACAACAAAACACGTACTTAGTTATACCTAGTTATGACATTTCAGCACATCGTATGATCATCTAATGGCCACACATCTGTTGCATGGTCCAGATTTACATTATAACTAAACACTCAGCTGTATATTTAATTTATTTTCATTACATTTAGTGTGACAAGATCCACATTTAGAGTTTTTACATAACCAAAGTATTTTATTGTGCCATCCAAAACTAAGAAAAGGTGTGTTTTCCTGCACTAATCTATTAAAAACAATCTCCAATCCTCAGAATATGTTATTACGCAGTGCCAAACTAATTAAGATCAAATCCTGGGCAGTTTCCTGTACAAAAGGGAGGGTAGGATGCAGGAAGTGGGAGCTGTGTAAATCAAAAGGAGCTGAGATTTGTGTGTCCTGGCCTCGAAACAGCCATCCAGTAGTGCTCACACACAGTATATTTTCATCTGTTGACAATCCAAGCTCTACCTAAAGGACACAAACTTAGTTGTAGACATTTCTGTCAGAAGGAAAAATGAGACTCCCTCTCTGGCCCTTGTTGATGCCCATTTGGCCGCTTGCCTGTTTGTATCATAAGTACTCCTCCATATATTTGCATTACTATTATGATTTGGGCTTTTCCCGTTTTATTTGGCCATTGAGACAGTACAGAGCCTTTCTTGCTCATGTCCTCACTGAACTTAAGGCAAAAATTACTGTGTGTGAACTTTCAGGTAGTGAATGAGGAATCTCTGTTAAGGCTCCACAGTGAGGCACCACTGGGACGCCATGTTGGAACATTGGGGGGAAAACTTAATGTAGGCGATCCATCTCTTAAAAAAGTAATGCACTGACAGAAAGTGCCTCTTCTGCAAATGCACTAAAACACATTATCCACCTCTCACTTCAGGAGATCCTTCACCCTGTGTGGATAGTTCAAGCGGATGTCATCAATTATTTTAATACTCACAATGGATCAAACTTGTGTTTCACATCTTTTTTTGGGGGTTACCCGTCATAGGGCAAAACACCTTTCTGTTTAACACCAAACAACACAAATCAAAGTTAGCAAAGTAGAGCATTGAGCAGTTGAAGAGCCAGATATTTTCCACAGTAGTTAGAAATAGAGGGAATAGTGCACCACAATTCATCAGAAACTGTCCAGAAATGCATACTGGAAAAATAAACAATCCAATGTCAGCTGACAAGTTCCCCAGATAAACATTACAAGGTGACGTTAATGTTTTTTTCAGCTTGTTTCTGTTGCCCCCAAGTGGAAGGAAATACATATTTCCAATTTGCGCTAAACACAATCACAAGCCTTGCCCAAACAGAAATGTATCCACTGTTTGAATGCAGACCTGGCTCCTCCATGACAGCGCCTTCAGGAACTCAATGTAACTCTACACTTTAACAACAAAGGGGAATTTATTTGAGCCAACACAACCTGCAAACAGAACACTTTCTACAACGATACGCAGTGCAACACAGGGTCAAAATGCTAAACTCTGAACAATTTCAAAAACCTGCTCATGTTTCATCACCAGGTTGGCCTTTTTCAACGCGTCTGACACGAGTGAACCAAATGGCCAGTGGCGACTATAAGAGAGGGCAACCTCACACAGGTGACTGCCAGACTCTTGAGTTAACAGGAAAGAAATATTTCCGTGCTTAACTTGGCTGAAGCTCTCAACAGACCTGCCTCTGCTTAGTTTTTCTGTCCGCATGGCTGAACACTGGTACCGGACCAGTATGGGAAGAGCCAACAACTTGTCAAAAGCCTCCAGTGATGTGTCAATTGTGACACCGCCATGCCCCTCGACTGTTTCCTCTCTAGTCGGGTGCATGAGCTCACAGGACCCTCACTCAAGCGAGGAGTCACTTAAAGGCCCTGACACACCAAGCAGTCACCAGAGGACTCGCCGACGCCGGCTGTTGCGTCGCAGTGTTCTCCTGCGTCTTGGCCATGTGTCGCACGGGAACACACCGCAAAGACTTCAGTGCGTGAGTGGCAATAACTCTCCTTACCAGCAGGCGGCGGTAGTGTGTATTCGTCATTCAAAAGAGGCAACAACCGGAAGACAGAGAAGAAGAACAGACCATGATATAAACAAACAAATAGCGTGTGCGTTGCATTTTCACTCTCGTCCATCTAAAACATGTTTCGTGCCGCACTGGAGCTAGATTTGGGTTCTTCCCGCTCTGTATTAATGTCATGTGGATTTTCCTGTCATGTTGACAGGTTATCATCATGTAGGCGTTGATAAAAGCTCATTCAAATGTTGTGTTATGTGTGCATGAAGGTACGAAATAAAGTTTTGCATTGCCTATCCTGCTATTTGTGTAATATTCTTTTAATCACACAGCGATAAGAAACAATAACAATGTGCCTACATAACTCTCAGTTGCAGCCCTAGCATTAGTATTGGTTATAGTAACAGCTAGTGATGGCGAGATGAAGCGTTGAAGCTTTCCAGCCAATTGGTTCGCAAAAGGGTTCATCTCATGAGGCTTCATTTGAACACAAACCCCCTGTTGGTCAAAGTGTGTAAAACAGGCCGAGTTCCCAATGAGTAAAGCCTTAGAATAACTCTAAACAACCAACATTAAATCATTTTCATGTTCACAATACTGTTTTTATTCCAGTTGAATGATTGTGATTGAAAAGCCTAAGGAGGTTGGTAAATATTGCAAAGGGATTTTTATTCCTTACTAATATTCATAAACGTAACCATGTTGTAGCCTGAGAAAGGCTAAACCATATCAAAGAATACATTTATTAACTACATTATCTCATTTAGCTGTAGCTTTTATAAACAACAAAAAATACGTATTGACGAGTCGTTGAACCAGGAACCCTGCGGTCGTGAGTCAACTGCTTTCCAGCTGATTCAAGATGAATCTCCCTGAAAACACTGTAACATATTTATTCCTGTATTTATTCATTCATGTTTTTTTCCCTACATTTATTTATGCTTGTATCTATTTATACTTATGACATGTTCCGACCTCTATATAAGTGAGGTTCTGAGCTTTTTTAATTCCATCGTGTCACCAGCGGGCCCGGGTACAGGAGGGGTAATTTATTATACATCCATAGGTATTATGAGCGTTGTGGTTCAACGGTTCAACCGATCAGAACCGCTTCCTGAAGCAGTCACGTGGTATCGACAGGCAGCGAGGCTTCGTTTGTCATCGATGACGTCACTGGCCCAAAACGATACAAGCCTCGATACATGCTTCACAAAAAGCTTCGGGGATTACTCGACACACGCTCCGAAGCCTCGGCGCAATACGTAACAGCTACAACATTAAAATACTTCTAGGCAGATTGAGGAGGATAATGGGAGAATGAACAGAGAAACATCCATCTGAATTATAATAACTTTATTTGTATAGCACCTTTCATACAGGGGATTGCAGTTCAAAGTGCTTTACATCAGTAAGAAATAAGATATAAAATCAGTGTAAAACAAGCAGCAAGAGCAAAGCATAAAGTGGGATAAAATAATGCAGATATATTATATATAGTAATCCCAACAGGCCACCTTGTTTATGGTTTGATTCAGTTTTAGTAGAATATAAAATACATGAATGAATGATGAACACATAAAATGCAGCCATACTATAATTATATTGAGGTACTTGAGACTAATCCTGCAACTGTATATAGTTCTGCTCCACAACAGTTCGAGAATGAAGAAACCATCACGTATGAAAGGCTACATGTGAATAGAGGGGCAGAAAAACGGCTTGCACATTTACATTTCAATCTTGAACAATGAACAGCGGTAGACAGTATCTCATTTAGTATCATCATCATGCGCTTCGCCGGAGGCCTTCGAGTGCTGAGTGTGCTTGGCCTCTCTCCGAGGCCGAGCGGTGCCGGTGTGGTGCAGATGGTGGATTCTGCCAGGGGAGTGCAGGGCTCAGCATCAAAGTGGAAGGACTCCTCAGTGGTGCTGGTCCAGGTTTCACTGCTGGTGCCACCGGGGGTTAATTCTGCAGCCACCGGACGTTCCTTAAGTTAAAAATAAATAAATTCACAGTTAGTTGGATTTCATACTTGCTTCTTAAAACTGTTTACTAAGCATTCATAACAAAACAAAACCCTGAAATGTGTGTGCCATTAGTTTGGGGTGTGGTCAAGTGTGAGAGGTACATTGTAGACACATTGTGATGCTCTATTCCAGTGCTTCTCAAAGTGTGGTCCGCGGACCACTGGTGGTCCGTGAGCGCCCCCTAGTGGTCCGTGAGTATATTGGTAACATTTCACATTTGAAATAAATGAATAAATGTAAGTTTTCCGCACTCTCGCGGGAATATCTCCGCAATGGAGCGAGCTTAAGTTTCACTTTCGATTGTATAATATAGCCAAGTGCAACACCTTTGTCACACATGTAGCCATGGCCGTATCTACCATTGAGGTCACCGAGGTCCGGACCTCGGTAATATTTTCCGAGCTGTGTATATAACAAAACTTGTGAAATAATTACACTAAACGGGGTTCTTTGTAGTACTTCCATTTACTGACCATGGGGGCGCTGCATAACTACGTAGCCTCGATTAAAGCAAACAGAAGAAGACGACATGTATCAACAAATCACCGCAGCCCGGACTTGTACCGGAGCAGCGGAGGAGTGATGATGTATCTAGAGATCTGAGTCCAGCGGGCTACTTGTGTTTCTGTTCATCAGGACATCATATGAGCAGCAGATCCTGTGTGAACGCTCTACGTTAGTCAGTGGACGTCCGACAACATGCACACTAACTTATATTGCAGCTATAGGCTATACTTTGGTTTAAATTGCGTGAATAAACTAGCTAGAGAGCTAAAGTTAATTACATTCATCCAATGTCAGAAGGATTACCTTTTAACAAACGTTGTAATGCTTTTCTTTTATTTCAATTTGAGTAAAACATCGAAGATATAACATTGTATTGTTTTCTTTTTACACTGACTCAGATATAATGAGAAGACTACGTCAGTCAGTCGAAGCTCAGCTTTGGTGAGAGAGAGAGAGAAATATGTAATGTGTCTATAACAATAGTCTTGTGATGATGTCATAATAACATACAATTGTATAAAACACAATTTGCTTACATCTTTGTTCTCTTTTGAGAATCAAACAAAACAGATTTAAATAAAAAAAGAATGCAAACAAACAAGTGAAATGAACTAAATTGCTGAATTGCTTTTGATTCACTGGCAGGAGCGACAAGTGAAGAGGAGCAAAAAGTGAACAACGAGGGAGAGATTGAACAAAGAGAAAGCGTAGAGGACAGAGAGAGTAATGAACAGGAAGAAGACAGAGAGACTCAAGAAGATGGAAGAGAGGCTGTAGGTTAGCCGTCAGGGCCCTCTGTGAGGGCCTAAGATATTCTACAAAATAATATTTAAAAACATTAAAACAAATTATATATATTTTAATATATTTTTTTAGTTATATTTTTCATTAGTTTTACCAAAATAACTTGATTTAATTGTATTTAAAATAACATTTCCAAAGAAATAAATCCTTCGAATCTGCCTATTCAGTTTATGTTGGAATGTGAAGAGTTAAATGAAAGAAGCTCGTCTCTGCAAGTTACTGTGAAGAGAGGAGCTGTTGGACGTCCAGGCGGTCCAGCTATGAATTCACAGAGGGCCCAGCTATAGTAACTGAACGAGAGAGTAATGTCAAATGACAGTACAATTGACCAATCATATCTTCCCGCTAAATGGGTGGGTGTTATTATGGCGGACTTTATGACAAGTTCTGCCCGCTGTGAAACGTTTCTTGTTTCCATAGCAACAACAACTTCCTGTCAACAGCGTTAACTCGCCTTCAAAATAAAAGCATGCCAAATTACACTTAAGACATACAACTGCAACGAAAGTAACAAACACAATGCAATATCCTTTTCAATTTCAAAGAACACAAATAGGGTTATTTACAGGTGTTGTTTTGTGTGGTAGAGGGTCGCTTTCATTGATGCGTTTTGCACCCCGGGCCGTTGTTTTGATATTCCGCTGAAGTATACGTATACGCTGCGACGTAATAACTCGAGGGAAGGGGTGGGGGTCAGAGGGCCTAGGTATAAAAGTCACGGCTCGCCACTGATGTTGACAATGTTTTGTGATCATTTTAGCCTCTTCTGCATGTCCAGATCATTAATAGTAACAATCAACTGATTCTTATTATGTATTACACTTTCAAAATAATTGATGCTGACATTGTCAGCCCACTGACATGGTTTGAAATCGATATATTATCCAATTTGTGACCCCCCATAGGACTTAAAAAGCACCATAACTAGATCATGAAAATCCCAAAAATATCGGGGGGTATCCCCCGAATTCCCCTAGCATGTTTGGACCTCGGTATTTAGGAAATCCTGGATACGGCCCTGCATGTAGCCGCCTGTTTGTACCATTTTCAGGCGATTTGTAATCTGTTCTAGAAAAACGATGTGTTTTTGGATATTTGTGGAGTTAGGTGGTCCGCGAGTGTTTTTTTATTGGTTAAGTGGTCCTTGGTACGAAAAAGTTTGAGAAACACTGCTCTATTCAGATGCTAAAGACATACTTCTAGAAGATTCAGAACACTACAAAATATAATCAAGACATATTTTATCATGTATTATTATAGGTTAAGATAAAAGCGTTATTGATCCCATGGTGAATTTCATAAGCTACACAGCAGTATATCATGTAATTTCAATGAGCTCCTCCTTTACCAGCTGCAACATTAAGGTGATGAGCACATCAATAATTATAATACAATAATATATATATTATTCTGTTATTGTTTTATTTAACACTGTAACCACCAAATGAATGAAAATAATGTTTTTGTAAATGAAAGAAGCAAGAAACACTTATTTGTACTCAACAAATAAAATAGTTACCATGATGGTGAGGTTCGAAGTACTCTCCTTCCTTCTTGTGTAGGACTCTAAAAACTGCAGCCTGGTTATGATCCACTGCTGTCTGCCAGTCCTTTGTGCTCCACAACTACCCGAAGGGGCAAGTCTCCTGTACCGGGTGTACTGGGTTCGCATAGAATCCCAATTCTTCCTCAGCTCTTTCTCTGAAGCACACAAATAAACGATGTAAGCAGTGTGGCTAGTTAGCATGTCCAATTCATATCTATATGCAGTGCCAAACTGCACAGCTAGCAACAGCTAGCAACAAGATAACAACAAAACACAAGGTTGAAATAACAAATTACATTTCACGTTAACGTCACTGTACGCTGGCAAACAATAAAAAGCCAACAGTATCTGCTAAAGAGCTCAATTGATGAAAAAGATAATCTTACCCGAGAAACCAAGTTGCGTTTCAATCTCTCGCCAGAGTCCGGTTTTCACTACTCGGTTCGAGTACCTTTTCTCTGTGATGTCGTACAGAGCTGGCCTCTCCTGGATCAATGTGATGAGCAGGTCTTCGTTTCCGTCATTCCAGATCGCCATGATGAGATGAAAAATGAATAGCAGTCTGTGTGTGCCTTCTTAAATCGTTTGTTTACGTCCTTCACTTCCGTTTCGCTTCTCATGCACTGATTCGCTAGCTGAACAGCCAATCAGAGTGATTGCTTGGTCCGACTGCCTGACCCGATATCGGCCATGCATCGGGTCAGGCAGTCCAAATAAGGCGTGTCACGGCCGACGGTGCGGGACACACCAAATTGAGTTTGGGCGACAGGACACGCTTCGTCTTCCGACTAAAAAAAACGGCCGAAATCGGCCTGGTGTGTCAGGGCCTTTAGGGAGCGTCAGCATCAACCGTACCCTAATGAACCAGAAGTAGACAATCAACAGAGACTCAGCAGCACTCCGGTAAAAGTGCCAGGTCAGGGGACGTGCCAACAGCTCAGTGCATTCAGCATTTTATTGCAATCGTTGGCAGGATTCAAGCTCAATTTTCAATTAGGTATCAAAAAAGAAAAGGGAATGGATTTCATAAAAGCTGACAAAAAGAAAGCTCTTTGGGGACCTTTGTGTGAGGTGCTTCCATAGACTGACATGACTGTGTTTGTAATTTCCTTACTGGTCTTTCTGAGGTCTTGGTGTTGAGTTATTTTAAGTAATAGCTCTCAGCTCCGTCTCTACTGCAGCCAGGATACATTCCCCAAAAACCTGGTACTTCAAGCTGATATAATCTTATTTATTCAATCTTGAAAATTGAAACTTTTAGGCCTTATAATGTCTCGCCTGCCTGAATGGACCGCTCTTAGGCTGGACCTACATCAGAACTATTTGGTCAGTGGACGAGGAGGCTCACAATGTGGAAAAAGCACTTGTCGTCATGTTTACTGTCCTTCCAGGAGGTAGTGTTGAAGGTTCGGCTCGTGTAGCAGCTCATAGTTTTGGGTAGTAAAACGCCGGGGGTCTATCGATGCTCTGAAGCCTCACAGCGTGGCTCATCCGTGCCAGCGGTGAAGGACAAATGTGCCAAAGTTTGCTGGGTTTGGCTCTTTTCTCCCCCCCTGGCTTCCAACACCGATGTATCCAGCTGAGGTACAATAATTTGACACCTCTTAAGCAGCTTTAGCATGACAACCACTGCTTTGTTTTATATTCCTGCGTATTTTGAACGCAATCAAAAATTACAGTCAGCAACATCTAAACTGTGTTTTTATCCACTTTGGACTTTTGCCCCTCCCCACCCTCTTCAATCTCCTTTATCCCTCCCTTTCCTATGTGGGATTTAACGTACACTTTGTGGTAACCTTGCTAAGTTATCAATTTTTTCTATGTTCTCTCACACTGAATAAAGGCTTGTTTCTCTGTGCCTGCTTGTTACGACTTCAAGGACAGCTCCCTCCATCTGGCATTAAGTATTGCTGGTGCCAGTGTCGGGTTAACTGACACTCCTGCACTTAAACTAATGGCAGCGAGCAGTCATCTCCCATGAGGTGCTCACCTTGGAAAAAATCACCCAGCTCCCTCATCCTCAATCATAGTGGTGCACTCGCCACCCACTGAATGAGACCATGGGCATGAAAAGAGGGATTGTTTCACTGTTCAGGCATATATGAGGGCAAACGAAAACATGTAATACGTATGTCCTGTCTTGGATTTGCCCTCCTCTCGAGTTCAATGAGACGTGGAGAAATGGGGAAGAGAACAGCACGCAAACAGAAAAAGTCAGAGTCAGCAAATTGCCACTTTCATTAGGATTTCTTTAGCAAATTATGAAAAATAGTCAAGTATTTAACATTCAGACCAGTAAAAAAAAGAGTTTTCGCAAATCTAGAAAGCAGACACCGGGAAATAGGACAGAAATCTTATGTTATGGTAAAAAGAAAGTAGGATCATTGACAATTTCGCTATATTTAATGATTCATTTCTAAATTGGATAGTTTTGCTTCATGTAACTTATTTTCAATGTTAATCCTTTTTTCATAAACCTGCACCCAATATGCAGTATATAAAGTATATTTACTTTGTCAGTTTGTGTTGCGAGTCTGGACTTAAGAGTTGTTGCATGAGTAAACATAACGTAAATATGCACCATAGCAGGTTTAACAAACTAGACTAAATAGTCTAAGAAAGGGAGTGCATAGGCAGTGTGCTCACATGTGTTTATATATACGCAGTTGGTTAGCTGTAATGATAACAGTGTCTCTTGTTGGATTTCCCAGGATCCATTTTCTTATTATACCACATTCATTTTCCTTGGAAAAAAAAAGGCCCGTGTCCATCCTAGGTAAGTTGTTAACATAAATATGTTGTACAGGTGAGTCCAGGGCAAAGAGAAGCACCTCTCAGACCACAGCATCTCCACCCGTCCTCCTCTGAACCCCCAACTCAATGGAAACCTAAACAGCTTTTTAAGAATGAAGAGCTTTTTCAGTTTGTTGCTAAATATAGGCCAACCCGGTGGGAGGTGGCAGGTTCCAGAGCCATTTTCAACAAAGATGAGCCCCAGGTCCTGCCCAGGGCCCGGCGGGTGGTGACTGCCGGTGGTCCGTCTTTCTCTTATGCACCGGCTCTTAAGTAAACACTGCAATCCTGCGGTCAGCTACAGCATGGCAGCGGGCGAAAGGACTCACTGTGCAGTTGCACACAGCTATGGTGTGTTGTCTCCTCCGGCCCACTCAACCTGGGCTCCTCCCCGTCACAGAGGCCTCTGCAGGGGTCGAGGGCCAGCGACAGACCTTGATGTGTGATCCCGGATCCCTGCTGGGAACTCCTGGTGGGGGCAGTGTTGGACTTCACCTTCTGACGGACCATTTTCCATCTGAAAAAAGATGTCTAAATTGAGAACATAATCATGTTTACTGGAACTATGCTAATTCGTGTTGATTTGCAAGTGTAATCTATCAGGATGGATAATCTCAATAACCATGGTTCACATGAGGCTGTGATTGATATGATTTGACCTTTATCAGTAAATTGTTGAAAATATAATACAAATTACAATTAAATTACCATGGTTAGAATTAAAAAAGGTTGTATGCATGTTGTGGGCTTTTTTTTTGCATGATTTTATAAATTCAAAGACAATGAATAATATGGAATGAAATTACATTAAACAAATTAGACATTAGAACAATCATAAAATATTATTTTCTAAAGTGAGATATTGTGTGTAAATCACATTCAATTCATTTAAGGATTAACAGCCACAGATATCAGGTTTAACCTGAAAATATCTGCAATCTCAATATTTTTATCAGAGGGGCAACACATTCAAGATAATATGCCATTAATCATCAGTATCATATCCAATAAAGAGCCTTATTAATCAACACAGAGGAAAACTGACAGCCCAGTCCTTATCCACTGAGGAAAATAAGGGGCAACAGGTAGTCCTTTATCCATTGAGCTCTGTTCCTGCTTTGCTCCCCTATACACGCAGATCATGATTTGGGGAGTCTCAGTGGCTACCTGTAAGGACCACAGGGGTGGCAAATAGCAGGGCTGTGGCTTTCTGAGCTTCTTAGCGGTGCGAGCAGAAGGATTTACGGTAACTCTCAGACAAGCGTTCACAGCTTGGACTCTTGGCATGGATTCGATATTGTACCTGGCTGAGCATCAAACCCACTGAACCTGAGGTCCAAAAGTACCTACACAAAACCCTGGGATGTTTGAATGATAAATCGCCGACATTTAGTGGCAGAACAAAAAATATTGGCCCTGCTGGGGATATCAATTTTAATTTTAATTCACAGTGAGAGCGCATACTGGGTGGCTTGATTGACCAGATATCGGCTTCTGGTTTAATTGAGAAACTCCTCTCTTTTTGGTTGAGATTTCCTGCAGATTCAGCACAGGTGCGATAGTAGAAGGAAACCCTGCAGTGCGAGTAGTGCGACAAATGCCAGTGGGGGTGATATTAAATATCAACCATTATTTGAAGTGCATTGACCAAGTTATCTTTAAGTTCATGTCCAGTCCTTTTGGGACCTGAGCTTTTTTTCTTCTGTGTAACTGGACTCTGCCTGCTTCAGTCAACCATCGCCAAGACTTCTGGTTCTGATAAAGGAGAAACCATTTCCATGAGAGTTCCTGACTTCAATGAGAAAACCATGTGGCAAAAGTTAATACATCTGACATGCCGAGAAGCATAACGGATCAATTTAGTAATCCACTTTGTTGTTAAAGAGGTTTAGAATTGAAATGAAGGATTTTTTTGAAATCATTGGTATCATTATCTTCAGGTAAATGTTGAACTTTATTAATGTGCTCAATGCTGTTTATGCCAAGAGGTGCTTTATAAAGCCACAGGACTGAATTTAAGGTCACACAGGATGCACAGAGCCAATCACACCAACCGCCACCCCGGAGAAAAAAGCCATGGTGCTAATATTAGAGGGAAGACTGATTACAGTGCTACTATTAGGATTTGGCCTGCATTTTGGTCCAAAGTAGGAACGCCCTGGGCATTTCTCTTTGGTGTTCATGCCCTCGGCCCTCAATGGCACACTACATGATATTATGAAGAGCCAGACCAAACATGCCGACGCAGACCACAGGGTTACTCACAGCCCCTGCACATTCTTTAGAGGCTGAAATGTGACCCGGTCCTATTTTTCAGCAGCTTGTCAGACTCAGTGTGGTGCAGGGAGGTAAGCTAGGAGGGAAAACTGTTGTCACCTCTCTATAGCTCTTACTTTTTTTTTACTTACAAGATGGCAACCTTGGGTGTCAAAATGAGACCAGATGGGTGGGTTGGATAAGTGCTGGCAGTCACCACGGATATGAAAAGCAAAAACGTACGGCTACTAACAACATCAGCAGTAGACAGTAAATGGAAATGAGTTAATTGGAGAAGCTTTGCGAGTTGATGGACACACTCTGGTAATGCAATACGTTTAGTAACCACATGCATTAAGACATATAACACCTTGTGGAGATTGAAATTGAAGTGACAGCA